AGTACAGGTATATAAAAACACCTTCTTCATTTCTGCCGCCATTTTATTTAGAGATCCATTCAAACCAGATATGACAGCAGCACTGTTAGTCAGGCTGCTAATCAACCACCACCATCACACTTGACGTAATTTCTCAACTGTGGCTTTATGTCATCATTGGTGAGAACATATGAAAAAATGTTAACTCCAATTGAGGACAATCAGAAAAAAGATTTTCAATTATGAAAAACTATTATTAGAATAAATTATAAAGTGACAAGCCGATAGGCAGCATAAAAGCTGAACATTTTGATAAAAGCTAACCAAATAACATACAGAAACCCTTTGTAACTAATAAAAATAAAGAAATATTCTGATCTAAAAAAGATGCAAGATCACCCAGCATTGTCTAATGTCATGTAAGTACAATTAGCTTAATGTTAGATCAACTGGCATTATAAAACAGGGTATAAATTGATGCACCAAAAGTGTGGTCACCATGTTTTGGAAGATGGTATTTTATGCCAATTGAGCAAGCAGGAAGAAATACACAACAGCATACAATTCTTTTTGTATAGATGAGTTTTTTGTGATGCAATACCTGTGATTTATCATCAGGAAGAATTTTTTTTATGTGCACATTATATGGACAAAAAATGAGACAATTATAAGGCAACATATGGCTTTCCAAAATATTTTTCTCTATCAAAAATGTATTTGCTCAAATTCACCAATTTTATAAAGCTAATGATGTTTTTGTCTAGATTTTTGAATCACAAACATCTCACACTTTTAGATGTACACATAATTGTACACATCAGCAAAGCTTTAGAACATCTTTACAATGTTTTTTCTCAGAAAATAATAACAGTTAATAATACTACCAAGCACACAACCAGAAACATAATATTTTCTAACAGTTCATTTCTCTGAATTCACTTTTAAAGAACCAACACCATCGTAACTTTTGATGTTTTCAAGTGATAAACAATGAAGCAACCAAAAAAAGTGTAAAATTAAAATGAACACAACATGCCACTCGTTTGAAACTAAACCAAATATGTAACAAAATGAAAAAATATGTTTAATAAATCATTAACTTATAATAAACAAAGTCTTCTTATAAAATTGTTTATTGTAGTTATAGAAAAATGTCTTAAAAATCACTAGATTTAAAAAGAGAGCAAACAATACTGAATTGAAATAAATTCATTTTTTTTCAAAGTCAGCCATTATCACTATCAGTCAATGCTGTCCAGTCCATGTCAACTTTTTCTCTAACTAACTGGCTGATGACTTGTATGCAAAAATCAATGAATATAGAAATAATTGTAATGTGTGATACAAAAGAATGTTTATATAAAAACCCTGAAAACAATTCTAATTAATCAAAACTCAATTTACTACACAAAAAAATAAATAATGCTTATTATTTTTATTTGTGTTCAAGTACATTTTAAAGTACATGTATTTTATTTATTGGGTTTTAATTTTAATGATGTTTTAATACTTTAGCCAAATTTCTAACCACTGTATATGCCAGTTTGCAGATCAGCTCCTGGTTTTTTAAAGTTTCGATTTATTTTCAAGTAATTCATTATTGGGTACATTTGGTGACTAGTCTTCATTGACATATCTTAATAGATTGTTTTTGTGAAAAGTTTGCCAGTTAAAGGTTAACTTTAATTCAATTTACAAATATTTAATTAGCCTTTGTATTGTATTACATATATTAATTCAATAGGATATGTTAGCTGTTGCTTTAATAGCCTTGATGTTTTTACTTCCAAGTAAATTGGATGCATTTGTTAATAGCAATTAATGCTCTATTTAATAAATTAAATAAATAATTAATAAATGTAATTATTAAACTGATTATTTTTGTATACAGATAACTCAGTGAAATAAACATCATTAGAAATATCAATCAAGAGTCTGAATTAATATAAACAACAAATCCATTACATATTACAGCAATAAATTAATTATAACACAAAGATGCAATAATGTAATGGTTTGGTATAGTTTATTCAACTTCTCTATTAATTAATTAATTAATAATTAATCTAATAACATTTGTTTTCAGGAATTTTTAATACAACACAGTACAAACATTAATTACATTTTTTAAAGTCATGTTTCATTAGATTAGATTACTATTAAATGAATAAAATATATACAAAAAGTCAATGAATTGAGCCATAAATACTACTACTTACTAACCTACAAACAAAACAAACAACATTTTATACATACATAACAACATATATAGTATATGGTATATATTATATACCATAATAATTTTTTTTTATACTTTTTTATGTACACACAGGAACTAACTAATCAAATACAGATATAAACAAACTTAATAACTTTATTTTTATTTACTTGACACTTATTATTAGATGATAAAATCCATCATTTATGTAACTTGTAACTGTCCTAATAATCATATGTTTGTAATGTTTGTAACAATATCAGGTTCTACCTAATATCCTTATTTAATTTGCACTTGAAATCATTTGTATTGAATCATAATGTATGATAGTATATAGTTATACTATAAAATAATATATATTTAAAATTTTAAACTGGCTGATAGATATATTTATATATAAATACTCAATACTGATAAGCATAGTATAGTTAATTATAGTATAGTTATTATTTTTAAGTTTATTTTTTAACACTACAACTAAAAAGAGCAAATAAGTTTTAAGCATAAAATTTAATATGATAGTAAAAACACTTCTTCCGTACTTTTATATTTTACTTATAGTCTTATATATACTAAATACTAAAACAACAGTAAAAATAAAATTTACCATGAATAAAAAAAAAACATAAAATTAAAATAACATAAAATCTGACCTAGCAGAAGTAACTTGAGTTCCTTCCTGGCATCCTTTTTATCTTTTTTCAGCTGCTTGTCAATTTCCTGGGTGATCCTCTTCTGCTCCTTCGCCTCCTCACTTAGACAACACGCCATTGCGTTGTTATCTTACTAAATCCTACTAAACGAAATTATATACGAGGCGGAGCTTTCTTATAAACATCCGCTCAGATGAAAAAAAAACTGTAAATACATAATTATTCCAAACCATCTGTTGAAGCTCAACACTATTTCCTGATAAAATAATATTTGGAATGGTGTTGCAAAATTTAAATACCATGAAGTTTAGTTATGGAATCGCTTCTGTGATTGAAGTAAACTAGACATACAGGCAATTAGAAACCAGTTAGCTTGACAAGTATTGTCTGCAAAGTTTTACAGAAGATTCTCAAAAACAAACTATAAAACATCTTTTCGAAAACAGCACACTTAAAAGTCAACACGCAAACATGTTTTTTAAACATAAGGTTATGCAACACTATACTTGTTAGAACTTTTGAGACAGCTTATGAAAACTTAGACCAGGGTATAAAACTATAGATATAATTTATTTTGACTTTGCAAAAGCATTTGATCAATTACCACAAAAACGATTACATACAAAGCTAGAGGTTGTTATAATAATCGAAAACTTGCTGATACAGGTAGCTACCCGGAGGACAAAAAAGGAGAAAGTGAGTATAAGAGGTTACTGTACAAAATGTGTCGACGTACTTGGGCGGAGTACCTCGGACTCGGTGCCTGGGCCAATACCGTTACTTCTTATCAGTAATGATATTAAAAATAGATTTATCTCCAAACTTGTCAAATTGGCAGATGACATTACATAGAAAAGTTAGCAGCAATGAAAGTGTGGAAAAATATGTGAAGACCTAAAAAGATTTTACCAATGGGGCAGATAACTGGTGGATAACGTTCAACATTGAGAAATGCTCTTTCATACTTAATAGAACCATAACAAAGAAAATATACTCGAGTTTGGAAAAAGACCCTTGAAAGTCTCATCAGAAGGGATTGACTTTGAAATAGGTGAGCTCAAAAGGCACGCGCATCCAAAATATACATATTGAGGCAACAAAAATGTAAATAAAACCTTCACTGTGACAAAGAGAATGGTGATCTGCAGAAACAGACATCATAACGCTGTGCGACCAAAGTTAGAATATCGCAAACAGATGATGATGCCCCATTGGCAAAATGATTAAAACCTTTGAAAAAAATCAGCTTTGAGTAGCAAGAATGACCAAAGGATGTATAAGGATTTATGATGGTGCTCCAAACGGGAATGAATAGCAATGTAAGGATTTCATATTTTTTAGTTTTAGAGTAAAGATAGTATCGTATTTAGTATAATGTATTCTATTATCGTTAGAAGGATTTTTCAAAAATATTTTTTTAATTTTATGATTTGCAAAATTAAAAGACTTTTAGTAAGCAAGGTAATTTTTTTCTTTATTATAGACAAAAAAATATTTGTATCATTTATAGATAGAATAGAAAATGAAATATATAGCATATGAAATATATAAATTATTATTGATACTTAAGGAAAAATGAAAAAAAATTATTGATTTTATCTTGATCAGAGTTAAGAGAAACACGTTGACTGAAGGTAAAAATAGAGTGATGGTCAGTAAAAATAATACCAGATAAATACGTTTGATGAAGAAAATTTTGAAATGCCAGAAAACAATGACGAAAGAAACAGCAGATACGTTGGCAGATGATCAAACAGTTTTGAAGGGCGGTGGACATATTAATGTGCAAGAATTTTATCTTATTGAATCAAGGTAAGAAACAGAAGAAGGGTTTGTTGTCATAACGGCTCTTCTCAATCAAGCCTCACCGCAGGTTACCAACAGGTTACTCCTTTTATTGCCACGTGACTTTTCAATTGTTTTAAGGGAATTAAGCTTTTTCCTAACGTGTTACTTCTCTTATTTCATTACAACAGGTTCATGAGCAGTATTTGCATTCGTTCGTACTTTGATGACAAACAAGTTCTGATACAACAAAAGCGGTTAGGCTAAGTTATTTTTTTATATTAAAGTTTAATCGTTAAAATTTGTAATGAACAAATTTGAATTTTTTAAATATAATTGTTTACACAGAAATAATTGTGCTATAGAAAGTAAAAAAAAATGGATTTTTTGGGACATAAAAACTAAACATTGCGAAAGTTATAATTATTCTGAAACGCCGAAAATTAGCGCATCGAAAGCAATCCAAGGAATACTGGTCATTTTGCGGACTGGCCAGTGAAAATGCAAGTATGTTGTACATCGCACACATCAGATAGTGGCCAAGCGAGCCTTCCTATGAGCAAACCGGCGGGCAATAACGTGTATCATATAACAAATATAACATGTTGAATAATATTATTACTGTGTCATATTACTATATTATTGTATAATGCTCTTCAATAACATACAGGCAGTTGTATTGCACGCATAGAGTACAAGATGGCGATGACATTCTCTAAACACTATATGTATTCAGTGCTACGTATTTATTATAATAAATAATTGAAACGATATTTTTGTAGGCTTTTAAAAAATCACATGTTTCAATCTCCAGTTTTAATTACAGCATTTTTTGCTATACAACAGTGTTGTTCGAAATTAAAGTTAGACCCATACGTTTACTTAAATTTCCTTATATTTCATATTATTAACAATTTATAATATACTGTTGTTTCAAAATTTTGTTTAATGATATTTATAAATTGAATGGGATATGGAATTTTGTTTTGAATGGACAAAGCCTGGCCTGGTCTGCAAGAGGTCTCGCAACCACGGATGCTTGCACGTCTCGGAGAAATCAATAACAAAGCAAAACATTGTCTCATGTTGCAACAGACCTTGAACACAACAGAATTTGATATTTATGAGGTATTTTTATATTTTTTAAACGTTTCGGAAGCATATACATTTTTTATAAAAAATTCAAGATATAAAACAGAGTAAAAGGTACGTGGGGCTTATATATGAATTTTTAATTATTATAACAAAATATCGTAAGAACGTTTACGGAAGTGGCGATAGATGCTGCTGCTACTTTTTAGTAATAAAAATATTGAAGCAGCATTTGATGGACGTGTTTCTAACAGTTCATTTCAGTTGTTTTTAAAGTGCCAACTGGCAATTTATTATTCACTATCATTAAAACGTCTAAACTATTGTTCTAATTGCTATTTATGTTGTAATTTTCAATTAGATCATGTATAAAGCAGATGTTCTTACAAAAATTTCAGAATAAATTGTCCGGTAAAACCGATTATAAATTGATGATAATACAACTAAGAAAAAAATAGTCAATAAATTAACGTATTTGGGATATATCAGAAAATGATTGTAAAATAATTTATATCTTGATAGTCTCACAATTGGAAGAATAATTTAAGTTTTTTAAATTATGAAATGGAATTAAATTTAATATATTTCAGTTTGTTTACTTGGTCCTAGTTACTCGATGTTAAGTATTTTCAATCCCGTCTTCATTTCATTTCATTATATTGCATGAACGTCAAAATAAATCAATAAATTACTTGAAATTTTAATTGGAACTATTTGTAAGAATAAGAAGAATAACGACCTTAAAATGTTGTTAGCAACTGCTAATGAATGTCTCAAACGTTAAGTGAATAAGATTGCAAAGAAATTTTTTTGTAGTCTGCAACAGGAATTTCTTAGCTCTCTAATTTAAGGCGTCGCGTGAGTAATTCTTGCTACTTGCAGCAAGAATTATTTTTTTTATTCATTATCTGTTTAATTTGTTCAAAATATTTTTATATTTAAAAAATTAAAACATGGAAATTAATTAAAGACAAGATTAATTTATTTGCGATGATTAATTAGCAGAACTCATTTGACTATCACTTATTGTACCTTGTTGGTGAATTGATGTATATTAGATTGTCAGCCCAAACAAGTTATACGAAGAACTAGTAAATTCAATCTCTTATTTACCAATACAGCACATCTAAAAATACTAAGGGAACAAATAAAAATTTCAAACGCTTGAAACGTCTTTCGTACTATACTGATAAAATTTCAGTAAATACAGCTTCGGCTGAAAGGTTCTTTTTACAATTGAAATTATTAAAAAAGTTTTCAAGAAAACCATAGGCCAAAAAAAAACTGACACGGAGACAAACGTACAAACGGGTGTTGATATACTCGAAGATGAAAAGCTAGGCAGCCGAAATGGATGAAAGAATTCGATTATGGATGATAAAAATTATATATACATATTTATATATAAATATATATTTATAGAAATAAATATATTAACAGAAAATGTAAATATAATAATAGAAATAAAGTTTCAATTTTGAACAGACTTAATTTTGTTTATAAAAAGTCACTAAGACAAATTGAAAATTTGAATACGAGTTGATTAACACTAATAAATCGGTGGAATTTATTACATACTGTCAAGAATTTGGTCTTTTACCAGCATATATACAGATATATAATTTGAAATAAAATATTTATACAGACAGAAATGAAATAGCACCGTGGTATATATTAACAAAAACAACTCCTACAAATATGTTGGAGTTCCTACACTGACCTGCAATACACCCGGCCAAAATTAGGCACCATGAATTCAGTTCATCCATCCGATAACATATTCCATAGCAATAGAATAAAGAAGAGACATCATTTTAATAAAATCACTCCGTTTGTCAATTGTAAAACCAAAAAAAATCGATTGCCACCAAAAGCATATCAACTAGCCATGGATTCGTCAAACGATAAACATCTGAACCACCTGGAAAAAGTTCTGCTGTGTGCTGTTGAGAAGGGAGATAAACATCTCGTCGTGAGATGTCTGCATGCTGAAAAACCGGTTGACATCAACTGTTCTGATTTTCTTGGAAGATCACCGATACAAGTATGTGAATGATGGCTAACTTTTATTAATAGCAATGACAACAACAGCATTAATAACAACAACAACAACAATAACAATAATAATCAGTAGATTTATTTTTAACGTTTGATGATTTGGTTACATAATGTTGGTTTAATATTTTATAGTTGATTTTCACAAATATTTTTAACTTTTGCATAATTACCTCATTTATTTATAAAATATATTAAAAATGCATGCAAAATAAAGTTGCCCGTGGTTAAGAATATTTTTTGTTTTATTTTCCGCTAATCGTTAATTCAAGATAATGTAATACGCCAGTGCCCGTTCGAAACGTGATAGGAAAGTCTTCAGATGGTTGGTTTCATCGTGTTACATGATGTATCCGCTGCATTGTTTGAGTGTATTCTGTTTCAATGCTGCATGTGTTTAGACCAAAAGTCGGTAGTGCAGAATAAACAATTGTTTTGTATAGAAAGATTGAAAAACTAAAAATTTAAAAGTGAAGAAAATGTTATCAGCAACATGAAAACACAAACAAGCATTACGCTTTGATCGCAAATCCCCATGAAGCTGTGCCTTCAATTAATTATTTTCTACTTACCGACGAGCATTACAATATAACTCGACATAAATCCACTTTGACCCAAGTCACAATGTTGTTCAGTCTGCTTATTTGTATAACTGAAATCGATCGCTATTAAAACATTGTTCCTTTTTTTATTATTTTTTTCGCATTTGTTTTATTTTTATTTTTGTGGTTAAGATAAGAAAAGGTATTTTAATTAATGTAAAATTTAAAATTATTTTGTATGTGTGCTACGTACAAAGTACATGTCCGTCCACATTTCGATCAAACACAAAACAGATAGCTGTCGAGAAAAGAAACATTTCATTAATAAAAATTCTTCTAGAACAAGATGGAATACAAATAGGAAACACATTGCTCTACGCAATTTGTGAAGGCACGTACGAAATTGTGGAAATGCTGATTGACCATCATTCTGTCACGGCGGACATGATTGGCTCCGACTGGGGCTTCAACATGAAGAATGATTTCAATATTTCTGACGAGTTTTTTCCTGAAATTTCACCAATCGTTTTGGCAGCTCACTGCAATCATTTCGAAATCATTCAATTGTTAATCTCTCGTGGGGCCACAATAAACAAGCCCCATCCTCTTTCGTGCTCCTGCAGCAAGTGCAGAAAAGAAACATTTGAAGATAGCTTAAGATATTCATTACAACGTATTCAAATATTCAGGTTAGATTTTCAAACTTTTATCGCCATGCAACCTTTAAAAACTTTGTCATGTTGTGTCTTTCATAACAAAATTATTCAACTTTATTCTGTAAATATCCTATTATTATAATTAGGTTGAAGTTCATATTTGTATTTCAAAAAAATTATTATCTAAAAATTTACATTGAAGCATTAAAACACTTTATTGTACTTTTTTAATAAAATTAGAGCGCTGTCCAGTCCGGCCTGGATATCACTGACAAGTTTCGATCCTGTTTTAACTGCTTTTCGACTTTCATGGGAATTGGAGCACTTGGCTATGAAAGAAAATGAATTTAGAGATTTGTACGCTAATTTGAGTGAACAATGCAAACAATATGCTTGCAATTTGTTGGATCAATGTAGGAGCAGTCACGAGGTTAAAACATTTTTTAAACAATTTATTGAAAAAATAGAAAAATAGAGTAATTTTTATGTTTTGTGAAAGCAGATAATTTTGATTTAAATAAATAAATGCATATGGCACTTTAAATTGAATGCACATGTATTCTATGCCTAAAATATGACGTCATAAATATTGTAAAATAGCACATTCGACTAAAAATGAAAAAGAACTTATCTCTAATGAATCGGAGTGCTACATTAAAGGGGTAACTCCGAAGCGCATATTGTCGTATTAAGTATCGGTCAACTGTCATGCAACGGAAAAAACTTTCAACTGCTTTTCGACTTTCATAGGAGTTGGAGCACATGGCTATGAAAGACAATGAACTCAGCGGCTTCATATCTTCGATAGCGGCCTCCAACATTTTATCGGAGAGGGTTGGTTCTTCACTAACTTTCGCACTGCGAAAAGGATGATTAAGTTTGGACCCAGATAAAGTAGACAAAAAGAAATTTTTCGTGAGCAATTGTAACTTGTAATTAAAATAATGCGTTTATTTGTTTCATGGTTATTTCAAAGTTAGTTTTGTTTGCTCGTTTATTACAATTGTTCTTATAAATTAAAAGCGTATCAAATTTTCTGCGGTTTTATTTTGTTGCTGTTATTTTTATTTTTGGTTGAATAGAGTTTCACCGACTCAAATTAGATCACACCACCAAGTTTTTCAACAGCCTTCATTAAGCCGGTGGTTCCAACATGAACAACACTCCAAATTTTTCTACTCTTCTTTACACGCGACTTTTTTTAACGCATTTAATTTCGTTGAAAAACTAACGCCAAATTAGTGGCTAGAGCAATTTATTGATTATGCAATTTTTTATTTAATGAAACATTAAAATGTTTCGTTATCTATCTCAAATTTTAATTGTTAATAACCAAATTTTTCAAAAGTCATGTTATACACATACCATATGTTATTTTCTGATTCAACTGTTGAAATATGTAACACTTAATTTACATAGCATGGAATTCCATTATGCTTTTTTTCAAACAATAATTATTTCCTTATTATTCTTTCATTTAAAAATTACTCTGCTTTTAGTATCTGTCTGAATTGATGAAAGCCCAATTTCTGCTATCTCCATTGCAATTAATTTTTTAAAATCATTATTTTTGTTTAAGGTTATTGCTGTCTTAAACAAATCTGTTGATTCTGCGTACGACAAATGGACAACGGAATGGAGTGACGTGGAAGAAACAACTTCAGAAGATGAAGAAAAATTTTACAAAGATTACAACCACAACGATGAACATTTTAACCATACCGACAAAGATTTACGGAATAAGCAAAATTTATCCGGTTCTCAGATTAACAAACTGACTTTGGATAGGTTGAAGTTAGCGTTAAAATATAGACAAAAACAGGTGAGTGAATCGCGTCAAGGGAAAATCTAATATTTGAAGTGTAGTTGTTTAAATGTTTTCCTCTTAAAGTTTAATTTTATTTATTAAAACTGAGACTATCATCTCATATATATTTGTTTAATACGAGATTTTCTTAACCTATTTGTCGAATATAATATTTTTCAAATGATTTCTTTCCACGGCTTAGGGCTTAGAATGAAAATTGTTAAAACCAAATCAGCAAAGTAATATTTTTGTGCTTTAATGTCGATCAATTTCGCAAAATATAGATAAGCCATAAAAATAATGAACTACAATCTAGAATAGTATATATTTAAATTTGTTGATTTGTGTAATCTTCAAACTGCTAGTATAGAAAAAAAAATAAGCAATTTATAAACATATCTTAACGAGGAAAAAGGTATTTACTGCGAAACTGTTTTTTCACTGTTTTATTTTTTTACTTTCCTTTCCCAGTCAAATATGATGGTTTTGTCACTATATCTAACAATTTTATGATTTGAATACCGTTTTAAAATGTATAGACTTGCCCGAAATATTGAGTTTTCAATTAAATAAAATTGACACATTCGTCTAGTTTGTTGCCCATCCTCATTGCCAACAATTGCTGGCCTCAGTGTGGTTTGAAGGAATCCCTGGATGGCGAAGAAGGAATTTTATTACAAAAGTTGTCATTATTATAACTCTCATATGCTTTCTTCCAATTATGGCGTTGATCTATCTGGTGTTTCCAAGAAGTAGAATCGGCCGCTTAGTTCGAACTCCTTTTATGAAATTCATGTATCACAGTGTGTCTTTTGGAGTTTTTTTGTTTCTTCTCATTTTGGTTTCCACAAATTTTGGTGCAGCTGACGGAGAATACACTCAAAGACAACATCAAAGAGGTCCGCCGCCTACTAACTTGGAATGTCTTATTGTTGCATACGTCATGGGTAAATTCAAATTATAACAAATCTATTTTTTATAAATGCATTAAAAGATAGCACGTTCTGTTTTATAAAACCAATTTTCAAAATTGCAGGTTTTGTCTGGGGAGAATGCAAGCAGTTGTGGGACGAAGGTCTGAAAGCTTATCTTCGCCAATGGTGGAACTGGCTCGATTTCATTATGCTTTCATTGTATTTGTGCACCTTGTCCTTGCGTTTAATTGCTTACTTTCACTCTCAGCACCCCGATATTTACGGTTTGAGTTTAGCTCCTCGAAATCAATGGCCTGAAACAGATCCAACTTTTGTTTCAGAAGGAGTTTTTGCAATTGCCAATGTTTTCAGCTTTGCGAGAATAATTTATCTCTTTCAAGCTAACCCATTGCTTGGACCACTCCAAATTTCTTTAGGATGCATGCTGATTGATATAGGAAAATTTTTTTTCATTTTTTTCCTGGTTATAACTTCATTTGCTTGTGGTTTGAATCAACTCTACTACTTTTATTCCTCTTCTAATTCATCTCACGAGAGTTCAAATACACTTTCTGCAATATTTCAATCATTGAAAAAAATAACATCAAGTTCGAATTCTACAAATTATAATAACGTCAGTCTAGTTCTTCCAAATGTGATCAATGAATCCTTTGTAAATACTATTTTTGGGTCGACAAAATCAGTAGAAACAAATCATCAAATGACTTCGCAAGAAATGCAGAACACAAATTATGAAAACGCGTTTAATCCGTAAGTTTGATTTTTGTGTGTAATTGAAAAATAATTTAACAAATAATAATTGAATAAAACAAATTGTTATAACTAAGCAAAACCAAATGAAATTTAATATAAACAATAGCCTTATCTGACCAAGAGTCTTTAAAATGATGAAGTAAACATTGTGGTGTCGGTGCTGGTTTCCAACGAATTTCTTGTGCAACATTAATTTCTTATTAGTGTACAACAGCTTAATAAAACTTTCACTCTATTTACGTCAAAAAGATGTTTTCAGCCAGTCTTTGTGAATGAACAGGCATGAAATATATTTAAATTTTACCTTTTTAAGCACAAATCAGTTAATCAACAACACCACATAAATCTATAAAAAAATGAAATACAAGTTTTTAAACAATAACCATATAATTATAAACAAAATTTCTAAGTTTGACCGTTTAGTTTCTTAATAACTCTCTTATACGACGCGATGGTGCGACGTTTTACTGATATTGAGGTTTGCTTATGTAGACCATGTATAAAATGAATTTTTTTAACATTAAATTACTAATTAAAAGATAAGATCATCATAATAAAATTTTCATTTTAGATACCTAATTCAATTATGAAACCGAATTGCACAAATTTAGAATATTTAGGAGCTATGTGACGCTCTTTTGGTCTCTCTTTGGTCTGACCCAATTGCAAACAGTAAGAGACGGACAGCTAAAAGCTATTACGAAAGCAGTTGGCGAATGTTTGTTGATGTTTTATCATACAATGGCGGTAATTGTTTTGATTAATATGCTCATAGCTATGATGTCAAATTCTTACAGAGAAATTGAGGTTTATTTACCTTTACAGTTTTATTCAAATATTCTTCAAGTTTGAAACAATTTCTCTCGGAAAATAAAAATCTCCGTTCAAAATAAATTAAAATTTTTTTTTGTATCAAATCAAGTCCAACATCGAAATTGAATAAATTGAAATGATCCGGATTAAAATTGACAAATTTTATCTGACAAATTTTGTGTAATTAAAATTATAAACCACAAACTTTATTTTTGGTACTGTTTTAATTTGTCAAAAACATTTCAAAAGCTGAATTAAAATTTTTTGAATTAAACGAAATACTAAAATTTAACAAATATGTTTTGCAGTTAAATGTACTATTAAAATATTCGTCAGCAACAACTAGGTATAAATGAATTGTTATCATTTTTTTTCAACTTCAACCGAATATTCTGAAACTAAAATTATTCGGGTTAAACTGTCTACAAAAAGGTAACTGCACCTGAAATTAATTATTAATTGTATAATTGCAAAATTAACGATATAATTTAAAATTTTAACAAACTCTAAAAAGAGCCATCATTATCAACGTTTTCAAACCGCCTTGCCTTTTTCGAAAAACTAAGCAAATTTAATTAAACTGAAGAATGCTTATTTCAGCCATTTTTCACAATCGTTTTCAAGTATTATATACATAATGGAAATATTACTTACCTTATATAAAATAACGTCAATATTAACGATTCAACACACTTCAAACATCTGCAAAGGCGTTATAAAGTAATTTTTAATATGATTTGTCCAAAATGTGCACTTCTTGCTGAGTACACAACGACAAGAGTTAAAAACAATAATTTCTACGTTTATACATTTTTTTAGCAAAAGCCAGTATTAAAAACGTCTTTTTCTTTCATCTTTGATTTCCGTAAAATCGATCATTGTTCTGGAATAACGCTGGTTTTAAACTATCGGTTTAACTATTTCTATTACGTTTGCAAGACTTGAAACTGAATATTCTACATTTACATTTTATTTTAGTTAAATCGTCATTTCTCTGTTTTTTTTTCGTTTTTTTTAAATTAATAGTTTATACACAGACCGCCCTAACGAATTTTTCAAATGACCCAATTGTAATTAAAGTTTACTTTGTTATTATTATAAACATGAAACAATAAAATTCAGATTGGTAATTTCGTTTGTGACATTATTCTGGACACTGTTTGGAATAGTGGATCTGGATGCGTTAAACTTGGATTTAAATGTTATAGAAGGGTTTGGCATGATGTTATTTGGATTATACAACATGGCCGCCAGAATTTTATTTCTCAACATGCTTATTGCCATGATGTCCAAGTCATTTAATGTGATCGTGGTATGTGTTGTGTGAAAATGTAAAAATATCTTTTATTTAAAGTTTACATATTTTTCGTTAAGAGAAATTGTTTCAAAATTTATAATTCTCATTTTTCGTTAAGAGAAATTGTTTCAAAATTTATAATTAAATTGTTTGAATTACAAAAAATCAAGATAAATTTTATAACCATTTACAGACATGTCATTTTATAAAACAATCGATAACTTAAATACTGATGACAAACTTTTTTCCATATTCTTTTTTATCAACTTCATTTCGTAGCTCTTATAAGCATCTTGTTTTTTTTAACTTAGCACAAACCTGCTCTCAGCTTTTATGTGTGTGCAATTTAATGAGAAAGCTCGATGTTTTGCTCAACACGTCACTTTCCATTCTCTCTCCATTAATTGTTTAATTGAATTCTTTTTTTTATAGTGAACAATTTGTTTGAAATGGTTGAAGGAATTCGCCAAAGAACTGTGGTTAGATAAGTCACTGTCTGCCAACGCGGCTCAATTTTGTATTTTTTGTAGTGGATATAGTGGCTGGGCTATGCTTCCGGATTCCTGATAAATGATTAAATGATCAGTACTTAAATGAAAATAAGTGCATATTTATATTTTATGGAGCTTTCTGGTGAAGGACATGCGATAATTTACTGCGCGCGCTCCAAAGTTTGGACAACTTCTAGCAGCTTCAATGTAGATTTTGGTTGTTTGAGAATGATTGCTTTTTTGACAATTTGCGCAATTTTGGACATTCTGGACCAATAGTATTGTTGCCTAATAGTCTATACCACTACCAACTATTTAGCCTCATAACTGCTGAATGAAAGGTTGAATAGACGTTAAGAGCCCTAATCGGTTAACATTGAGGTGATACATGCAATTTATGCATACTGATGTTCATACTTCTTCTTAACATCATCATCAAGGAATGTGCTATTATGAACGTAATCGATGAATCGTGCCTACCAATCATGATCTTGTTTGTCATCTCGAAAAATGAGATGAATAGAATTTAATGTTGTTTTATTTGGTTGAATTTTTATTATTTTCTTCAAGAATGTTGAAAATTAGTTAGTGAATTATTGAAACTCGTTTCTGCATGTGACGTTGATTGGGGACGTTTGTATTTAATGTGTTCAGAGGTTAACAAACATTTTCAATAAAATGTTGTTTATTTAATTAATCTATGGCTTGAAATTTTTAACTAGCAATGGATTTTAATGAAATGTAGTCAGTAATTATGGTGAAGTCATTATTTACCAAAGGTTTAGAATATGCTTTACTGAACATACATCTAAAAATTCGAGAGTTTCTATTTCTGCAACGGACCATTTTTTATGTTAATGAATGTAAGAAAGATAAATTGTTGAGAAGTCAATGTTCAACATGTAAAATTTTGTCAAATTACGACATTCGCGTGTTTGTTTTTCAGATTTCGATTGTTTAAAAGCAGACTGACAGTCAGGTGTTCGTTCTAAATTCTGATCATTTTTACTGAATTGAACAAAGAAAAATGCGACAGCATTTTTAAAATTATTTATGAGTTTTTGCAAAATTGTGCTTAAACCGATATACGAAGTCATCGTCTAGTGCCGTTCCACATCTCTAGGGATTTTGCAATTCAAATATTTGCACAAACTTTTTTCTTCGGTTGCTCTGCTTGCTCTATTGATTTTTATACCACTCCTATTTTCCATTTCCAGAACTTAACTCATTTTCTCTCTCTCGCTTTCCCGAGTGCAATCTTGTATGACCATTTTTTCTAAATAGTTTGGTTTTCTTGTTTAATGGAAATAACTTTACTTGGGTTTCTAAATTTTTTAGCAACATCTTTTTTCTAACTTTTCAAGTAGCCTTTTACCTGTTCAATGATAAATCAATGATTCTCTTGACAGTTTTCTGCAACACCAAATTCAAACGCCTATAATTTGTTTTTGTGTATTATTTGTTGTCCATCTTTCAGAACCATATCCTACAATTGGTCATTTGAACTGTATAATTAACATTAGGACCATGCTGACAGAGAATGGAAATTTGCGAGAACGAAATTGTGGATGGGATATTTTGATGATGGCTCAACGCTACCCCCTCCCTTCAACATATTAATCAGTCCTAAATCAATTTATTATTTCTTAAGAAGTATCAAGTTGTTGGTGTATAAAATACTCTATTGCTGTCACATTAAACCTAGTGTGGATACAATTTTTTTCAAGGTTCTTTACATTTTAACATTAATTAATTTAAACTATCACTGTTATGTGCTAGTTTCAGAAAATTCTTTTAAATTATTTTTGAACGAACATAATAGACATTTCTTATTATTTTGGACATTAACAATGTAACAGATGCAATTTTCAATTTTATAAATACTACAGACAAAAAAAATGATGAGAAAAAGCATGAAGTCTAAGGAAAAGTTACTGGAAGACAACAGGAGACAATATACCGTAAGATCTATATATTTAAAAAACGGTTTAACGGTATTCAAACTGGAATAATCTGTTGTAAATATAGGATTTTTTGTGCTAATTCATTATTGTTGCATTTGATTAAATATTTTAAATTAAGTTTATGTAAAAAAAACAATTTTTCATAACTTCAGTCCTTGTCAAAATTTGGAACAAGTCACTCGAATGAGATGCAACGTTTTTCTAATCATCGCCGTAAATTTTAATCAGCAGCTGGACGATGCACATTAACCAGTGGCGGATCTAGAACAGTCAGTGCCCCAACCTGTTGTAAACAGTATTTGTTTTAAAAGTCAGTAAAACTCATTGTTTATTGTTTTTACGAAAAAGGTACTGTTCTTGACGAAAATTTGACCATGATAAGAAAAAAATGTGGTCAGCCTAATTTGTACCACATTATCGCAAATATTGGCCCAACACCGTCCAAATTTCAAAATTTCTTCCAATCAACGTTAAAGGATTTTGAAAACTTTAGGCCCCCGACAAAATTGTTTGGAGCCGCCACTGGCCGGAACTACATAACCTACATTACCTTTCTACTGCAGGATATACACAAAATCAGCAATTGCACCAGACAATATACTTAAGGCTGATGCTTTTTTAAAAACATATCAATGACACCCGCTATATTATTTTTCTATTCTGTAAATGTATTTAAATTATTCACTGAAAATAAAATGCGACGGTTATTTGGATTTCAGTGCTAATCTTGGGACCCGGTAAGATTCGTATTCGTCGAATACACCAATAGAGAATCGGTAAAAAAGGAATCGAATCGAATAAATTTTTTTTTAATTTTTATAAAATATCTGCAATGATGAGCTGAAAAGTAAAATTTTATAAATTTTTTTGAAATCCCATGTTAACCGTTTTCAACAAGTGTTTGTAACTACAACTGAGTCAAACACTTCTCTTTTTAAATAAGCGGTAAAACGGCATGGTTTTAAACATAAAGCTCCAAATTGTTGATTGTTTTCCGTGCACTAAGTTAGGATAGAAGTTGGTTTTAAAAATATTTAATTAAAGGCACGGACGCACCTTAAATCCGGATTTGGATCCGTCTAAATACATCACTTAGATTTAGATCCGGATACAACTAATCAGGATTTCTTGAATTCGTCCCATTTCTTGTAAGAAAAACATAGAACATTTATTAAAAAAAAACAACAAATGATAAAATCAAAAACAACAGGACTAACCATGAATAGCGACAAAACGCAAATCAAGTGCAATATTAAAATAAAAAAAACATTCTACATGGATATTACGTGCTAAAACGAATTTGGTGAATTTTTTTAATATTTAATTAGATCAAAAGTTTAGCTTCAAAATTATAAACCATGAAGCAAATAACATGGCCAACTAGATCATTTACAAATTTTCTCATCAACGGTAAGGTTTTAAATAGTTAAATGAGTCGATCATTAACATCTGAATGTGTGGATGGCGGAGGCTTTTAAAATTGTTCTTTAAGAAGTGATATGGCTACTTCATGTTCACATGATGCAGACAAAGTGCCATATTTGAAACATATGCTGATAAAATTTATTAAAATTTGAAAAAAAAACCTTTTGTGTTTCATGAAAAACAATCTAGTAAAATCGTTTCAGTAAGACAATTTAAGACAATGCTTACGCTTATGTGTATGTATTTATTTAAAATACTATTTGTCATTTACCAACAGGATGTTATGCGCAAATTGGTCAACAGATTTATACATCAGTGGAAAATTCAACTGAGACAAGAGAGCATCAACGAAGATCACATTTCCGAAATCAAACAAGACATCTCCAGTTTGAGGTGATCATGCCAAAAAATCATGCTCTATAAAAATTATTTCAGCATGAAATTTGACTTCTTTGATTGATTTTTAAGTTTCATTTGACTACATGTAAAAGACTAACAAGTGCAATCATTGAAGCATTTTTTTTCTCTTCTGATGGTCGATCTGTACATCTCAAAATGGTTCTATTCATTACAGGAATAATAAATATTAGAAAAATCCAAAAACAACATGGATAAAACCAAAAATCATTAAAATTTGCCGCGTTCCACGTTTTAAATTTTATTTGTTGACTTGCGCGACCAATTATGTTTCAAGTTTTTGCTGCGTCACAAAAATGAAAGTTTTTTAGTTGGCAAATTTTATAAAAACCACTAAAAATAGAAATGTTTTCTCACTTTCTGTTTTTGTTGAATTCAAATTAAATGTAATATTTTAGTGATTTTATTTCAATTCAAACTCAGATAGTATAATTGATGAAAAAACAAGAGAACATAAATTACTTTGGTGAAATAAGAAAAAAAACTGTGTAGTAAAAATTAAACAGTTTTTAAGAGATTAATAGTATCCTAAAACCAGAGTGTTGGAGTCGGATAAAAAATATCCGGGGCCAGAGTTAAACAGTTTTTTTTTATTAAAAGTCAGTAAAACTTTTTAGACAGGAACGTTTTTAAGTACAAAATCGTCAGCCTTATTTTGGCCACATTAGCGAACATTTGATTAATTTCTTGGTCCCCCGTAAAATTTTTTCAAAATGTCCAAGTTTTGAAAATTTTGGCCTCACGTCAGCCAGTAACTTTGACGGGGGGCCATGATTTTAAAAAATATTGAGGAACCGGAAGAGGGGAATTTCAACACATTTGTTGACAACCGGGCGGGGGAATTCTCAACAAAAAATCAATGACCGAGAGGGAGAAATATCCAAACAATTTTTTCCCGAAATTAGTTGACGACCGAAAGTTTTCAACAAAAAGTTTATGACCGGGGGGGAATATTTTCACAAATTTGTTTGCGAAATTTTTCATTGTTCACCGGGAAGCCAACATTATACGCCCCTCTCCTCCCCTAGATCCGCCACTGCCGTCAGCATTGTCTAGATTCCGCCATTGTTTCCTCTAATTTTATAAATAGTCATGGTTTTAATTTTGATTTATAAAAAGCAAAATGAATTGAAACATAAATAAAATGAAATTCAACTTAATTTTACATTAATAGAAATAAAATATGTTCATTCAGGCGCGAGTTGCAAAACGATTTCAAAAAAGACGAGTTCCAGTCAAGCTTCATGTTTGAAAAAATAAAAAAAGATATCGCTCGGCTGGCACGGCGTAACTCCAATCCTCCATTTAAATCTGAAGCTGCATTCACTTCATCAACTAAAAAAAAGAGCAAAAGTATGGAAAGACGTTTTGATTCAACCACGGACAATGACATCTTACCTAGAAAGTTTTCTGGAACATACAACAATTTTAACAGCTACCCTTTGGCCGATGATGAAATGAAAAATAAAAATGCAATAATTTCTTACGAATTAGATTATTTACAACAAATTCAAAAGCAACACGGGAATTCGTCTCCCGGTTATAAACAGCAAAACAAAACCGAATGCGACGTAAATTTGTTAAAAAACCAAATTATAGGAAGTTTGGAAGCGGAGGTTGGAAAAATAATAACAAATGCTTTATCGCCTGTCATCGATTACTTGAAACGGCACACCTCGGAAGCAAGCAGTCTACACTTGCAATTCTTAAAACTCGTAAGAAAATGAATTTTACGTTGGCTAAAAACTTTCTTTATTGTGTTCAAACCGCATATTGCTAAAAAATTGTTTCAACCAGAATATTAAAGTTGCATTATTATTTATTCATTATTATTATTTTTTATCATTTATCGGTCGATATTTGTTCATTGAAGTATTATGTATGCTTTTTTCTTTTATTTTCATTTTATTTTATTTAATCATCTATTTTTTTGTTTGACTTTTTTGTACTTCTTCAAAATTGTTTGTTTTGCGAATTTTGGATTTGAGTCCAGTTGAATCTCTAGAAATTGAGCTACATAAACTTGATTGAATCATTGATTGAACATAATTTACGTTACTGATACAACACACGCTGACATTTTTTTTTATTTTAATGCAGAACAACGAAAAAAAAGAAGAGCGCAAAATGAATCCAGTGGCCGAAAAGGCTGACCTGTACACCCAGCTGTAACTTGTCGATAATGAAACCCACATTTCCAATAAAATTTTATTTGTTTTATGATATGTTTTTCTACTAATGTGGTTTAATTGCTTTAATTTAACGCTGTTTTTTTATTAGTTAAATTAAATAACCGAACCTAAAAATTAGCCAACAATTTCATTTTTCTCTTCAATCCTCTATTTAACGGTCTCCAAGGATTAAAATTTGATGCAAAAATAAATGAGTTTTGTTGTATAATTTTAAACAGGTTTTTTATTTCATTAACAAGGCTGTATTTTTCAAAAAAAAAGTTTATTCATGAATAATTAAAGTTTTTTTTATTAAAGAATATAACAACCGACATTGACAGAGACTTAATTGCAAAATACTTCATTTTATTTTATCTGACTTTGATAGTTAGGAAATAAAAGCTCAAAAAATGAAGACGACAAAGGTCATGTCTGAAAAAGCTAACTCTCTGGGCCCTTTAGTTAAATTGATGTTGGCAAAAATTAACACGAATAGCAAGTTAATTATGCAATTTCTTAAAATATATTCAAAGTTTCACACATAAAAATAAAATAATCAGGTTTATAAACATGAAATTCAGATTCAACTGAACGAAACATGCACGAAGATTGGACTCGTTAACTTGACAATTTTTATTAAATAATAATAAATTTAATTTTGTCAACCCTACATATTTTTTACAATAAAAATCCAAAACTTTTTCATAAACAGAAACGAAAAAGTGAAAATATTGTTGATGTGACACCGACATTGCAATTCAAATATGTTTGATGTATAATTCAATCAATCAATCTTCGTTTTGCGTCCAGAGACCCGGTTTCCCGAGGTAAGACGTTGTTTTCTTTGCCATCAACTTTTTGAGCCAAATTTTTGAGTTTGATGCATAATTGATTTTATAAAAAGCTGTAATGTGCAGTTCATCGATGTAAATGAAAAACAATGTAACAAATGAACTTAATTTTGTTTTCGAATTCAAATTCGATAATGAACTGACATTGGTCGAACGAAAAATTGAAAGAGTAAATAGAACGCCAACGATGCTGTGGTATTTTTAAACAACTGCACATCGCGGGTAGTCTAAAATTCAGTGGCCATCGTTGAAAGTAGCTGTGCTGTATGCATCATGACTCGTTTCACAAGATTAATTGTATTGATTGTATCCAAGTTCATGGGTAGATGGATACATTACATGTTATTTAAATCTGATAAATATTCGTTTTAAAGGAATCAAAATAGTTGTACGTGTTAATCAAGGTGAGCTATCTATAAGTTATAACTTCGAAGTGTAGGCCTTTTAAATTTTGACAATTGGTATCCAAGTATGAAGAAACTAGATTTTGTATATACGGCCGTAACCAAATCTTTACAGCAAAGTTTAACTACGTGTTACACAATCTGAGACAATTATATTTTAATTGAAACGTCCTCGGAAACATCAAATAGCACAAGTTTCCTATTGGCGAACCAGCGCTTGCCATAAAATTTTTTAATATTTAGTTTTTTCCTTTCCTACATTTTTATTTTATTCTCATCTAGTCACCAGATCAGAGAAAGACGACCACCATTAATGATCCAAAATTTTCCAGTGAGGGACGGATGGAAATATTATAAATATTTGAGGTCATTCGTGCTATTTCTTAACGGAGAAGAACATTTAAAAACTTTAGTTGCTAAAGAAAGATTCATCAGCGAAAAGATATTTTACAGCGTCCGTTGGTAGTATTTCAATATATGAATAATTAAAAGATTTGGTCTTGAGGTGACAAAAATTGCTGATGTCTATAATGTGATTTAGGTTTTCGGTGTGTGTTTTTGTTTTTCAACGTTCTTTCAAAGCACAATGGCGGCCGACCGACAGAAATAATTTTTAAATAACAACCACTCGAATAAATTTATTAAAAAAAACGAAGTTTCATAAATGGAATTGATTAACGCGCTTGTTCGCATTGACAGGTTTCTAAAAAACGTAAAACGCAAACATAACTATCAAGTCGCCACTCAATCAGTTGATCAGGATAAGACCTTCACCACCAGTCACATTAAATATATCAACACTCAATAAATATTTGTCATTTATTCAACGAACACATAACATACTTATTAAGTAATTAAACATAATAAAGAAACATGCTGGAAGCATCTAATATCAACCGTGCAAGTTTTGAAGCAACTTGAAGCTAGATTTATCCAAATCTTTTAATTCATATATTGAAATGCTACCAACTGACGCATCACGTCGCAACGGTTATTTGACAGAGCAGCATACCCAGCTGTCTGAAATCATTGTAGGCGGGCCGAATCCATCGGAAACGATTCTAGCTTCCGAAGCTAGCAACTAAACGGTTGCGTTTTTCAAAAACAACGAGCAACAAAAAAATCAACGAATTAATTTATATAGATAAATTAAACATATTAGCGTGTACAGAAAAACGACAAATTTGTTAAATAAGCTTGATGTCATTAAAATATTTATGGAATGAAAAACTATTTTGTTAGGTGCTGTGATTATCGTTCAAATCTGTTACACTGATTTTGTGAAATTTAGTTTGTAAAGAGGACATGTCACCTTCCAAGGCAGATGGAAGTAATGGGCCACCATTACAATTATGGTTGTTGTTCATCAGCCTTGCTTCGCTGTTCGACTTGATGATTGAATCATTGGATGGTGATTGGTGGAGAGGCAGTTGGTGTTTCCTCACATTCCAGTGCAAACATCCAGCAAGCCTGGTGTTTATTATATTTACGAAATAAAAAAATTTTTACAACTAAACCGTCACCTCTCTAGGGAAAGTGAAACAAAAAAAATATTTTAGACGATTATTCATTTAGTACAAAATCAATGGATGTCTTTACCAAATAATAGATCAAGAATTAAATCCGTCACTGAAAAATGTAATGCATACTGATGCATGCAATGCTTGAACGCATGATCATCAGCGTTTGTACATCTCAGCTTAACTTTCTTTCAAGATTTACGGGAACAACAAAAATATGAACATGCCAGTATGCACCAAATAACACCACATTACAAACGTCAGTACATCGACAGGCAGAAATAAATGCATGTGAAATTGTTAGTATATTTAAGCTGAAAAAAAAATATAAGATGAATAAATTTTAAAACGAATGTACACTGGGAACAACAGCAACGCCACAACATGATGATGATAACAAAATGTGAGACCTGTTAAACCAGTCAGCAATGGGGTCAATATTTATGATGGACGGGAGAGGATGGGATGAGGTGTTTATGATGAGAACTTCGTTGCGATCTAAATGTTGTCGCTGTCTGCCATCAAAGGAAACCCAGGCAGCATCTCTGGCGTCAGGAGACACCATTATCTGAGTGCAAATATCACCATTTTCATTTTCTTATGACAAAAAGTTTCAATTTATACATCGCGTAGATTTAGAGGCACTTTTGGCAGAAACTTATAAAGAATATACAGCGTACGTGTGAACAAACTGCGAAGAATGCACCAACACATGTGGTTAACAAACGGGAATCTCATTATAATATCATGGGGTTCATCGTCCTATGTGGTTCTTCTCCTCTTTGAAAAGCTGATCCTACAAACTCATTAGTATTAAGCAATGTAACTTGTGTAACTTGTATGCCATTTATCGTAAGTATTCGGAAATTTGTGAATTTCATAACATAAACAGAAGTTGAACAAAATAAAATTAAAAAATACTTCAAAAAATAATTTACTGGTCATTATAACCAAGCTTAAAAGTTTGTCTCAAAAGTTTTTCTTAAGATAAATAAATATAAAGTAAAAAAGCAGCCGTGAAATCAGCTTCGAACGTTTGCCAGAAACAGTTCGTCACAATTCGTGTATGTATTTATTTGAAATTTCTGTTACATTTCTAGTAAGAATTTGTGTATATGTATTTATTTGACATTTCTGTTACATTTATAGTAAGAATTTGTGTGTATGTATTTATTTGACATTTCTGTTACATTTATAGTTGGAATTCTTAGTTAAGGGTGGCCTATCCACAAGTTTATCTTTTTTGGTTATCCTTTAAATAAATAAAATAAAATAAAATAAATAAACGGTTTATTTCGATGAAGGTGAAGGTAGCGTTGAATTGTTTTAATTAACATTAATTAACAACAAATTACGAGGCAGGATGTGTGAGGAAAAGTTAGTTGAAAAATCTAGAACAAATAATTAGAAGTTCTCCCTTCGTCTACTACCCCCCGAATGCTTGGAAAGTGAACAAAATTAGTTTCCTTTATCATAGTTTTTGAAATTTATCATGCAATTTTGTAATTTTCCAATAAAGTGAATGATTTTTATATTTAAAAAAAATTTGTAGTTGATGCGGTGACAAACACTCTAGCTCTCGTGAACGGTAAATAAAAACGTTTGAAATGGCGAGACAATAAAGCATTTAATGAGGTTTGTTTATTGAAAGCTTAAAGATGTTGACGAACTTTGATTTCGACCCCGGCCGGAACGACGATGGGTCGGAATGAAAGAGAATGTGGGCAGATGGGTGTGATGATTATGGCGGGGACGTTCGGGTGGACCATGGACGCACCTGCCGCTGCTGAATACGCCGTGCTGCCCGTCGGAGTTGATATGATGAGGCCTGACGTTAATCATAAAATTCTGCTTTATTATAACATTAATTTGAAGTTCATAAAAAATAATTTGTATCCATTATATTGATCGTCCATTCATTATTAAGTTAATTTGCATTCACTGTTAAACAGCTCGAAGAAAATAATTAAATACAATGGAACTTCAAATGTCCTCAAGTTCAAACCAAATTCATAACACGCTGATGTGTTTAAAAAATATTCCAATAATTTTGTGAAACAATTGCGATAAATAGCATCTAATGTAGCAAAGCATTGAATGGGAAAAATCTTTACGCGTAGAAGGAAGTGAAAAAAATATCAATAAAAAATAAATGAGCAAAAATCACCATTAAAACATAGCGAACAAGAAATCGGTGATCACTAATAATACATGATATAATTATTGAGAGATAGAAGTTTTTACCGTCGCCTTGCACAACAGTCACAAGGATGTCGTCGATGAATAGATCCAGCTGACACAAGTATGGAGTGCTCCCCCTGTCCACCACCACTTCGTTCAACACCTGCAAACATGCAGGCAGTTAAATATACTTCAGGTTATCTTACCTGCTCTGTCATTGATTTCGACAACAGATACTACACGCTGTTGGTGCTGCCAAAATAACCAATTTATTACTAACTGGATAAACAGAATAAAACGCTTCAACATACCTTTTTTGACAACCATATAAACCCTTAATTAGCGTTTTGTACAACCAAAACTCAGTTACAATAACGTAAAGGAAAAAAATAAAAGAATTATAAACTCCTGTGCCGTCCTTTAAAACGATCGAACTTTAAAATTTGTTCTTGAGAAAATTTTTGTTACGTTATTAAGAACATAAACGATGAATAACTAACCAAACAATGCTTCTGCTTTTCCATTCTATCGAGTGACCAGGGACCTCGAATTTTGGAATTAACAGGACAAACAAGAGCAATGAGTCTTGTTCGAAGGATCAATCCCATGTTGTTCCCTAACAAGGATGTTAACATTTCCAAATATATCAACAACAAAAAAGACAGTATATCACAACATTAACGCAAACATCACTGCAGCGTCGTATATCAAACTTGCGAGTTACGTCAAAACGGATTGAAGCAATTACGTCCTGTCAACCTTAGTTTTGGAAACTTTTTACCTTAGAATAATAATTTTTTTAGATCTGACTGAATTAACTTTTATTCATTTCCTACATTTAAGTCAACGCTGATCTGAGACAATGTAAACCTAATAGTCTATCAAACGGCCATACGAGAATTTCAAGTTTAGTAAAACACCATATAAAATATTGCTAACACCAATATTGGCTTCAATCAGATGTTTTAAAATTAATAAGATGAGTGAAATATTTTAAAGTTGTAAATTTTAGAAATATTTTAATTTCTTTAATTTAATAGCACAAACAAGACTTCACTTTCTATTTTCAAAAAGATACTTTCATTATCTGCCTAGCAATGTAGTTAAAGGCGAGCTTAAAAGCCATTACAGTTGCCAACTAAGATGAATTGATGCGTTCTTATAACACATAAACACTGTTAAAAAAATCGTAAACCTTTCAGAACATTTTCAATATTTTCTTTGAAATCAGAAAATTCAAATGGCAGGAGGAAACCAAGAGAACCCACGTGGAAGGCCATCACGGGAGGCATAGACTTCTGATTTGATTGTAATCAATAGAAACATGAGAATTAAAATTACAAATTAAAGTAAAAAACAAACAATCAGACTGAACTGCGATAAGCACGAAAATAAAAATGTTTAAAAAAATGTATTTTATAAATTGTCTCGTTGAAACTTGTAAAAATTTATTACTCTATTATTGAAAGTTAGAAAACGTATAAGGCATTAAAATCTTGATAAAATATGTATAATAATTATCACCTGGAAGAGTGATGATGCATAGAGGAGTGTCCCATCTCCACCCGTGCATATTACAAAGTCTACCAGCCCTTCTAAGTTTTTGATGGCTCCGTCAAAAAAAACAACGTTGTTAGATATCTTGATGAACTCATCGCTCGCCGCCAACACTTTATCCTCTTTTATATGACATTCTAAAAAGACCTTCAAATGTTTTTCCTAGAAAATTAACAACAAATACTGAATGAATGAAAATTAAGCATTCTCGTTATGTTGATTAATAAAACTATTTTATTGATCAATTGGTGGATATGTGTTTACCTTAATAAATAAATAAATTAATTAAAATTGATATTCAAACGATCAATTTTCAAGAAAAATCTACAAATGGGTATTGTTTGATACTATATGTTTAAATATGGAAACTATATTTTCCAAAGCTGGAAAAGATCATTTTTAGTTGCAGTTTTTCAAAAGTGGAAACAAAAAGAAGATGAAAGTACTTAGGAAATAATATAGATTGAGACTTATACATTAGAGAGCAAATTTTAAAAATTATTCTATATTTTATAGGTAGCCAGTGCAAAAGAACAAGATATGGAGAGATATGAGAAAAGATAGGGGCACGGAGCTTTACTTAAAGGATAGAGTGTAGAACCAGGAAGACCATGGTAGAGCGAGTTACAATAATCAATCCTAGATAAAACTAAAAAAGTAACAAAAATGAGAAGAGTGGGATCGTCAAGAAAAGGCAAAAGTTTTTTTATTCTACGTAGATTAAAGTAAAAACTCCTAGCAATACTATTAATCTGAGGAGAGTACTTCATTTGATTGCAAAAATTGAAAAAAATTGATCGAGTTATCGCTAAAAAATGCGTCAGCAATTTTTCAACGTGAACGTTAGGCTACATTTTGACGTTGCGTATTAATAAATAAAAAAAAACCCAAAAAACGTAGGTTAAACATATTTTGTGAGCATTTTCACAAACTGATATGCAATTTGTTGAAAAAATTTTTTATAAAAAATCAATTTGTAATGAAAAAACAAAGCATGCGAATTTTGTGTCCTCTGTGGACCATCAAACCTTGCTTGGGCGTCGCTTACGTCATTTCTTGAAATCTAGTTCTTAAAAACGAGTGCTGATAATGGCTTTTGAAAGTTGATATGAGATGATAATATTGATTTCTAAGAAGTTACTCAGAGTATGGTCAAGATCGGATCAAAAACATGGACGTGATAACAAAATGTAGGCGCTCGAATTTAATTTATTATTACGTTAATAAATAAAAAAATATTTTTCACGTGATGCCTTAACGTATTTATTCGCATGGGACCAACAAAAATTGATCTATTGTATTACCCAAAAAACCCTCCTTTCTATAACGATGAAAAAATGTACTAGGAGCACAAGCGTAATTACATTTCACTTTATAATAATAATAATAATTATTATTATTAATATTATTATACCAATAATAATACCTGAACAAGCCATTTTAAAAGATCCAAAAACATGTCGTCAAACGAAGAATCCAATAACTTCTTTATGACTAAAACGTTCTCCGGCTTACTTTCCCATTTTAACATCTGACCAACCGGATTCTGTACAGTCCTAAAAAGTTTAATTTGAGATTAATTTTTTAAATATATGAAAACATTTATATTTTGTTTTTGTGTTTCCTACAATAAAAAAAATTGGTAATATCCATTCAATCGATGGAGTTGAATGGATAATCTCCAGTAAGAATTTTGATAACGAGCTCTCTTTCACTTTCGTATGTTTCCTATTGACGAGAAAGTGCTCTATGTGGACAAGAATCGAGCTTGAATAATTTGTTTTATTAGCAGTTGAAACTGCCCATTCAAATGCAATTTCACCTCTAATAAAAATTGTAACGTAATGTCCACAACATCGCAAAATATAATAACACGTTACGTTATTATCCAGTGGAAATAGAGATTAAGCTTCACTCCTGCTTGCTGCCATGCAAAAAAAGAACGAGAGTAAAATCCTTTGCACAATAGAATGTTGACAGTAAAGATGGTTCTACAGAAAATATCATACAAGCAGGAATAAAAACTCATCAGACGTTGAAAAGTGCTGACAGGTTGAAAAGCATCAAGATCCAGAACACCAAATACTCATCCATTGAGTGATTGAACAAAAAGCAAAGAGCAAAGAGAAAACTATAAAACGTCTGCAACCATTTCATTTTATTATATTTTTAACTGTTATTTGGCATGTTGTAAATGACTGTGCATTTATCCGAACCTGATTTTTAAAGATTAATAATGATAAAACTATTTTGACAATTCCAAGAAGACCTAGAATTAACTTTGCTTAACCAATTCTAATTAAAAAAACTGAATATTAACAATTTAATAAAATATCTTTGAAATCAGCTAGTACAGTCCATTCCATAGAAAACACTTCGTTTAGACTTTGCATACCCTAAATTACTAGAGCTGATTCAAAATTTCAAAAATATTATGACTCATACTTATCAACATCCAACAACATTCGTATAGTTTCGAGAAGACAATGTATTTTCTCCATAAATTATTGAAAAAACGTTCAAATGTAGGTTGCTGGTTTTAATTTGAACAGTGAACGTCGTGTTTTTTAAAAAGTCAAAGATGGAAATAAAAAATTGCAATAAGTTTGTACGAAGTTCAAAATCTCATTTTGTTGTTTTGTTGTTTTTGGACGAGTTCATTAGAATGTGATCAGATGCGCAATATACATCCAACAACGGATTATAAAAAATCTGCAATATGCAACTACGGGTAAGTCTTTTATTTAGAAAAATCATTATGCTAAAGTGGGTGTAAAAAGAAAAAAATAGTGATCGCAAGCAGGCCGGACCCACGTGCTCACATCCATGCCGTAGGTAATTTAACCAAGCAATAATAACCAAATTTAATAAAAATAAATAAGCAAATAATTAACTAATAATTGAATAATTATAAAAAAATCATAAATATAGATACAAAATTAAAGTAAAATAAAATAGAACGAAGGAAAAATACTAATTAGACAAGAATTGTTAAATCATATAAGAGAATATATATATATATATATATATATATATATATATATATATATATTTATATCTGTATCTAACGGAAATAGCGTATATATATATATATATATATATATATATATATATATATATATATATGTATCTAACTGAAATAGCGTATATGTATATATATATATATATATATATATATACTATACACACACACTCACACATTTAATAGCAAGTTAAATACGCAATACATCTACATAAAAATATATAGATATATAGCACCTATACCTGTCTTGGGTGATAACGAAAACGAGAATAGTTTTTATGACCGTTAAATGGTAACTTAAATAAATCCATACAGTCATTAGCACAACGAAAATTATTTTTATAATTCTTAAATCACAAAAGTAGTTTGTTAAAAATTAAATAATATTTTAAAGTCTTTTTAAACAAAACAATAATATTAATACCAAAAAAAGATTTGATGAGATAACATTACTTTCATTATACATACTTTGTTGAAATCAATTGTCGTTATGTTTTTCAATTATTTTAAATAAGATTTCTTACTTTCGTTTTTTTTCTCATTATCTAAATTTAAAAAATAAATGTCCAAGAACACTACCATGTCTATACTTTTTATTCAATTAATGAACTCCCCAACTTTTTATGGACTAGCAATAAAGTCATGAAGTGCTTGAATGTGTCATTTCTCTTCAGCAATGTTACAATAGACCTCAACATTCTCAACTAATTATGCAACAGTAAAACATTCAAAAACATGAAAATACATAACTTGAGAAAGCAGCTACAAACATGTACCAAGGAATCTCCATTTTGTGAACTCAACGGAGAAATGTATTATAAAACAAACTCAACAAAAATGCAATGAAACTATTTTACATTAAACTAATTTTGCCTTAGCTGAAAGCAAAAAAATTAACTGAGATCAAAAAATGTTGTATCCAATTGAATAATATAAATAAACTAACAAACTCGCATCTTCTGAATTTAACACAGCCTTCGGTCCAAACTTTCTGCTAGGCAATGCACCGTATACATTCTTCTTAATCCTTCATTTGAATTATAAAGCTATTAAAGTTAAATGAACTGAATGATGAATCATAACATAAGATAAAAAATCACAACACAAAACAACATTCTACAACAACATTATAATGCTTTACATACAGTTCAACGTTCAAATAAGATTGTCACTATACAATGACAATAGATGAATAGTTCAGCGAATATAGATGAAAACATATATCAGCATACAATGTAATAGTAATATTGTGTGTGTGTGTGTGTGTTTGTGTGTGGGTGCGTGTGTGGGTGGGTGGATAAATAAATTGGGTTAACATTCAAGGTAGATAAATTGGGTGAATAAATTCGGTAAATATATTACTGACAAAACAATAAAACACTACCAAAAAATTGCACAGACTACACTGAAAGCAATAGAATAAAGTTTTGGAGTTTTATTTTAACAAGTTTCCAAGTTCAATGTTAAAAAGTTTCAATATTCTTATTTGAGGATAAAGTTAGTACTAATTCAAAGACAAATGTCTTTAGCAACGTTTTTTGTTTGAACCAATCTGTAGCATTTTCAAACCACAAAAGTTTGATGCACAATTCGGATTAAAAAATGAAAAATTTCTTTTCCAAATAATTTTACCTACATTTTTCGAGCTTTTTGAAGTCAAGATCAGAAACTTGTTTTCTTAATGCAATCTAATCAGTGGTTTATCAATTAATTCATTTTCTTTTAAATGAACAGCCTTCAAGGTAATCAGATCTGAAAAAATTTTATCAATTTTTTAATATAAGAGCAGATTTTTCTCATGCCAATTAAAACAGTGAAATAATTAATTCAATATTAAAAAATTTTGCACCATAAAAATAGCATGACAGTCCCGCTATACAAAGGCAAAGGTGATCCATTGAACTGTTCATCATATCGGGGTATACGTCTGTTAGAACACTCCCTGAAAATTGTCGAGAAAATCATTGAGAGAAGATTAACGTCGTGCATCACAATCGGAAATTATCAATGTGGTTTCCTAGCGGGGAAATCAACAATTGATGCAATTCACATCCTTCGGCAACAGCAAGAGAAGTACCTCGCAAAGCATCAACAACTATCACACATTTTTGTAGACCTTGAAAAAGCATTTGATCGAGTTCCCCGTGAAGCAATCAGGTGGAGTCTACGTCGACAACTCATTACAGAATATCTTGTTCGACTTGTGATGGAAATGTATACGAATACTAAGACTCTTGTCAGCACAACGGTTGGAAAAAACAGATGCATTTGACATCGGCGTTGGAGTTCACCAAGGCTCGATTCTCTATCCACTGTTATTTATAACTGTGATGGAAGAAATCACAAAACCGATACACACTGGTGACATTTGGAATCTAATATATGCTGATGATATCGTTTTAACACCCACGTCTGAGCAGAATGCAGCACAGATGTTTGAAGATTGGGATCATGGATTCAAAGTCAACATCAGCAAAACCAAAGCAATGAACACTGGTGAACCCATCCAACCCACAGCTACTGGACGATGGCCCTGTTCAGTTTGTAAAGCTGGTGTAGGTAACAATTCAATCAAGTGTCAACAGTGTAACCAGTGGTGTCACAAACGTTGTTCAAAAATAATTGGTACTTTATCTAAAGTGTCCAATTTTGTTTGTCCTGCTTGCATCAATCCACAACAACAAATTCGAAATAGCACTGTTTTTGAAGCCATTAAAATAGAGAAAGTCACATTGTTTCAATATCTAGAGAATGTTCTGGATTGTACTGGAACAGCTGAAGCTGCCATTCGAGCCCGCATACGTGCAGCCTGGAATAAATCGCATCTCCTTGCCTCTATATTGATGCGGTGTGACATTCCACTACCACTACGATCAAGACTTTATAAATCTATGATACGTCCGGTGTTGTTATATGGTGCAGAAACATGGCCAATGATAACCAAACTGGAACAACAACTTCAACGAACCGACATGAATTAGTCTGAAGGACCACATCAAATCTACCAAAATCCTGCGTCATGCTGGTTTAGATGATATAAAAGACGAATGCTGGCAACACCATCTGCAGTGGTTTGGTCATGTCAAACGAAGTGGAAACAGTGCCATAACTTTTCTTGCAGATGTTGAAGTACCTGGCACACGTCCCAAAGGCCGTTTAAAGAAGTTCAGATCGCAAACAATGGAGCAAGACATGAAAGCTCTAAATTTAAATGAAATGGATACAACTGATCGTCTAATTTGGCGCAAAAAGTTGATGGCAAAGAAAACAACGTCCTACCTCGGGGAACCGGGTCTCTGGACGCAAAACAAAGATTGATTGACTATAGTCTGTAGTTGCAGTAGTAATAGTTACACTGATATACATGATTTTTCTTTCCAATAAAACATTAAATTTCAAATTTGAAAACCATTTTGCTCTATCAAATCGCATTCCAAAGAAAAACGCTCCTAACCGTTTTCAAAAAATACACAGTGAGAACTTTTAGAGTCACGATTAAAACAATGCAATTTATTAGCTGCTGATGTAAAAATTTGCAACTTTCGCTATAGATACTGTAAACTTATGCAACACAAAACTCTGCTGTTTCCTCTGCAAGTGGAATAGTTGGGATAGAAATGTTTACACTATTAAAAAAGGTTAGGCCCATTAGGTATTGCCCGAAACCTAGTCAAAAAGTATTTTGCATGATTCATTGGTTGTCACAAAGACATCATACTACCACTGTTAAAAATTAAGTTGAGTCATTGGCTTTTATATGAATGTTGTTTCTACACATCTTTTTTCCATGCTCCTGCAAATCAGTGATGCTAAACTAAAAGATCCGAAAACTAATAAGTGACATACATTTTCAAGACCAACTAAAAGAAAAGATTTTGTGACATGGTGAGTACTCAAATTTCTTGTTGCCAATTTCTTGTGAAATAACAAGTATAGTAACTACAAAAAGGTTGTTAAACCTGCTTTCCAATGCATTCTAAAATATGGGATGTAACATTTTCCTTAAAATTCATTTCCTCAATTAACTTTTTGACTTTTCCTTGAATGACTTGGCAAAGTCAGTGGTGAACATGGGAAGTCTATAACCTAGAAATAGCTTTAATAGAATCATGCTACCAGAGACGATGAAGTAGGCTATGCATGCACATACTGCTGATTTTTTTACCATGATTGATATCCCAGAAGTTAAATACTGTCAAAAGTCTGTTTGCAAAACACCCTAGCCTCTTACACAAACTTTATACATGCAATTTCAATCAACATGTTTTGTTTTAATGAGCAATAACAACATTTTAAAATATTATTTGCTACTCATTTTCAATAAAATGAAATTTTTTTGACTAACAAGTCCTGATCAAATTTTTTATATTTTAATTAGACTATATATAAGGATAATGGGGTCTCATGGCCGAGTAGTTAACATGTCCGTCTACCACTCTCACGACCCTGGTTCAAATCCTGCAGTTTCTACAAGTTCATCTGGGTAGCTGACCCCCGGCCAACCCAGCCATCCATCTTTTCTAAGCTGGTAAATGGGTAGACGACGTAAGTTGTTGCATGTTGGCCGGCGAGATGGCTCAGTGGTTCAAATGCTTGCTGAGTCAAAACATCTCAATGGCTATCGTATCATATAGTCAGGGTATATGATGCTGTGCTAGCGTGTGCACATAAATACATGTATACGTGGTGTGAAAAGGATAAACATTCTTTGTGGCGAAGATGGCTGCTTGAAATCAATAGTTAAAGATATGAAGATCATAATAAAAGATGTACAGATAATATATCTCTAACATTGTAAGTGGTTCTGCTTACTTAATAAGGACTAAAAAAAAATAATCAGAGTACATCTGTTAGTGATAACAGATGAAAGTGAGTAAAATTTCAATTGAAGTTCTCTAAAAAAAAATTTATTTATTTTTATGTGATACAATAAAATAAACGGTTTACAGATTTGAAATCAGCCTGTTAAATAAAATAAAATTAACTAGAAAAACGTCCACTTACTAAAAACTAAAGAAAGACAAAAAATTTTTTTTGCATGTCATGTCAGTGATATTACAAATTACAAACTAGTCACTAACTTGCATAGAGTTGTACTAATGCTAATCTAATAAGAAAGTTAGAAAAAAACAACACAAAAAAAGCACTGTATGTAATTTTGAAAACAAATCTGTGGCAGGAGACAACAGCTTAAGCTAACAATACACATACAATCATAACATAACAATACGACAGAACGACAACAAGACTAACGAGGTTGCTCGATTTTTAGACCTGGTCCCATATAGAATTTGATTGTTACATAAACTCTGTCAATCCGAATAAAAATTGTGAATAAAAGTGAAAATTAAAGATTTAAAAGTGAATTAAAAAGTTTAAAGTTCGTTGACTGTAGTAGTATCATCTCATCCTATATATAGAATAATACTAATAAATATAACTATTTTTATATATGATATATCCACTGAATTATATTATTATATAATTCTATAATTATATAATATAATTATATAATATAAAATTATGTAATTCCATGGATATATCAATCAATTAATTTAAAATGCGCTATTTTCGAGATGTTCAACACATAATTAGAATCAAGGGGAGGCCTATTTACCAGCATACACCTTCTTATGGGTTGAATCAGGGATATGCAAAGAACCTCAATTTTTTCAACTTTTAATTATTTTCAGTAATGTCTCCCCTTGCTCCAAACCACATAACTAGAATAATAGGACTAATCGATCAATTCGATCTATCGGTCGGGCTATTTGTCGTGCTTGGATTGTTGGCTTACGAAATTGCATGGATTTTAACGAGCAAGCTAAATGAAATATTTACTTGATTTAATATGCTTAAAACATTGTAGTAATTCTATTTAATTTTAACAATGATTAATAGAATTATGTAATATTAAATTATTTTTGTTAATTTGAATATAAAAATTGCTTTTGGTCCGGTGAAATTCGGTGGCTTACTGAAGCCGAAGGTTGGCTTAATAGGACCTTAAAGTCACCCTTTTTTTTACACTTTTCGATCATGTTAAAAATTGGTTTGCTTATGAAATAAACGGCCTAAATAAATCAAAATTGTTATTTGAACAACTATCTTCATTATATTCAATGAATATTTTACATTCTGCTGGTGCTCATAAGAAACTGGCTGCTGAAATCATACGTTGGCTTAGCAGTGGCTTACAGGGTTTCATAGAACTCTTACGATAGCACTTTTTTGTACATATAATGCTTTAAATAAATCAATATATTCATATCACAATTATTTTTGTCAGTATAAATATAGAAATTGCTTTTGTCAGGTGAAAAACAGTGGCTTACTGAAGCCGTAGGTTGGCTTAATAGGATTTTTTCTCATGTATACAATACTATGAGATAAATCAATCAAGCAATCAAACAATCAGTCAGTCAGTCGGTCGGTCAGTCAGCCGTCAGCCAGCCAGCCAGTCTGTCAGTCAATCAATCAACCAACCGATCAATCAATCAACTAAATTGATAAATTGAATGAACCAAATAAACAATAAAAACAAAAATAAATAAAAAAAATTTGCAAGGCCTGTTCAAACTCGAACAAACAGTTAACCGTACAGATCTACAAACAATTTCGAGATTTTAGTAAAGAAAGAAACACAGTAGCTGCTTTTATTTTAATTCATTCAAAAATGAAGTGACGGTTAATTAAAATTTTAAAATGTCAATTTTTTTAAAAATTCGTATTTTAAATAAACAAATATAACAAAATATCGACCGATAAAAATAATTATTATCCATTATTATTATTATCATACACACTCTTTAGAAGTTCTCGAAGGATAATAAACCACGTAACATGAACATTTAGTAAGAACAGTTCACAACATATGACTAAATCAACATACTAAACAGAAATAATTTATACATGCATGTATACAAAGTAAACCAAGAAATATCCAAAAATTATATAACCAATTTAAAAAAAAACTAGAAACCAGTCAACATTTAATGAATAAATAAATAAACATTAAAAAGATTGTTCAAAAAGGTACAATTTAAGGCGACGACGAGAATGAAATGTAGTTTGTTTTGTTGGTGTGGTGTTGTGAAGCGAAAACAAACACATCACACAAAACTAGTAAGAAGTCGCAAGAATAATAGTCAGTCACCTACCTATAATAAAATTACTCAGGGCCCTAGCTTACTTATAAACATTGACTCAACTCACTTACCTACAAATTTGTATTTCTCGTTTTAGATGTTTCAAGTATTTTATTTAACATATTTTAGCGTTTTTATTTTACTTGAAGCTCTTTAACTAATGTTAAGCCCTAGCCTACCTACAATTGTTTAACTCATCTCAGTCCCTAACTTACCTATGAATTAAATTAAAGCCCGGTTCACGGTAAAGAAAATATAAAGTTGAAGAGAAACATAGCAACAACGACACCGAATGAATGGATGTTGTGTATGTATGTGTTGTATTGATGTGTGTGTATGTAAATGTGCGGGCGCGCACTCTCCAGAAACTTCACTCACTACCGACGAACCTCCATTGCACCGACCATCATCTGACACGCATCGATGGAATGAATTTGACCGGATACTGAAAAATAAATTGAAAAAAAATTAATTCACTAAAATAAAAAACAAGCAATTGGAAAAAATAGGCAACTTACCTTTTTGAGATAACACTCAATCTTTGTTCAAATTCGAGTACTTTCAAAGGTACAATGAGACAAAAACAAATTTACCTTTAACATTATCTTCGATTTGTCATCGGAACGATCATCATGAGACGTGCTGAAACCTGAAACGTGCTGACGCCCACCACAGCCCACCTCTTATCATTCTGTAGACAAGTTTTTATTAATTAGCGAAGTAGTAAATCAAGAAACAAAGGAACGAACGAATAAATGATTAACTGAATGATTGAACGATTGGTTGAATGAATAAATTAAATAATTAATCAACCAATGATTTAATGAATGAATAGAACGAATCAATGAATAAATTAACTGAGGAATAATTTGAAAGATAGTGATAAAATGAATGAATGAATGAGAAAAATAAAAAAAAGAAACTAAATCATACTTCAAAAACCGTCGTTGTTGTTATCTTCGAATTGTCATCGGAACGATCATCATGAGACCTCCATCTGAAACGTGCTGATGCCCACCACAGCCCACCTCTCATCATTCTGTAGACATTTTTTAATAGCGTATAAGTAAATCAAGGAACAAAAGAACGATCGAATAAATGATTAACTGAATGATTGAATAATTGGTGGAATGAATGAGTGAATGAATGAATTAATTAATAAATCAATGATTCAATTAATGAATAGAATGAATTAACGAATCAATTAATAGAAAAATAATTTAAAAGATTGAGTGATAAAATGAACGAATGAGAAAAATAAAAAACGAAACTAAACCTTACTTCAAAAATCGTCGTTACTGTACTTTCCATTGAACCGACCACCACCATCTGGTCGGCACACAAAATACCATCCGAACTTCAGAGTGTCAGTCGAACAGCCAACGAGCTGATTCTTCCTACACCACCATCATCATATGTAAATCATCATGAGACAACCATCTAAAACGTGCTGACTCCCACCACTGCCCACCTCTCATCATTCTGTAAACAAAATTTTTTTATTTGCGTAGTAGTAAATGAATGGTAGAATCTTAGAAGCAAAAAAAATTAAATTATGAAATGAAAATAATGTCAAATAAATAAAATTTTAAAATAATAAAGTAAGTAAAATGTAAAAAAAACTTACCGTCGTCCATTCGTTCGACAAAGGCAGAATGTTGAATGCGGTCCGGTTCCTACGTTGTCTTCCAAAACTGGTGCCAGTCCTCCTCGAGGTTGTTGTTGAAACACAGCCCGTGTTGATGGAGAAAGATAGAAAAAGAGTAGATTTTCATCAGAAAGCTTAGCGGTGCCTGCATCGTAAATTGCTTAATAAAAATAATCCTATCTACCTATTCAACTACCTTAACTAATCTATATTAAATTGTTAATGGTACGATAGTCGAAAGTCCCCCTTCATTCTTCCTCCTTGCACAGAGGTTCACTGACAGCCAGGGCACCGGATAGAAAACCATTGACGTGCGGATAGTAGACTATTGCCGTGCGGATAGTAAACCATTTGCGTCCGGAAGCTGTGCGGGTAGTAGACTATGGCCGTGCCACATGATAAATCATTACCGTGCAGATAGTAAACCATTGCCGTCCGGATAGTAAACCACTGCCGGTACACCACTGGCCACCAAGGCTTACCTCTGACAACAGACTTCGAAATTCAGAGTCTATCGGCTATCGTACCCTCAACTTACCTATTCATTACAATTAAGCCCTAGCTTACCTAAAATTACAAAAAAACTCAAGAGCCCAATTCATTTGCCAATCGGCACCCACCCCACCACCTACGTAATGCCTTGGGCTCCAATTTAGTAATAATATAAAACTTAAACCCTAAATCTATTAATGAGTGTGTGTTACAACGTAGCCTTAACTTACCTATTCATTACATTATGGCCCTAGCTTACCTAAAATTATAAAACTCAAGAGCCCAATTCATTAGCCTTTCGGCACCCACCCCACCACCTACGTAATGCCTTGGGCTCCAATCTAATAATAATAATGTAAAACTAAATAACTAACTTACCTCTCGATACACTTACAGCGTTTATTTAATTTAAATTACAAGATTGTTCCTAGAATTAAATTATTGCTTTTAACTACCTATGAAATTAAATTACTCTCAACCTTAGTAATAATAAATTAGAATGTGTAATGAAAATAAAATAACGCTCAAATACTAATATGTGTTTATGTATGTATTTGTGTGTGTGTGTGTATAATACGCTGATGCGTGTCATGTGGGTGCGAGAAAAAATAGAAGAGATAAACTTACGCTGCCTACCTATTCAACTACATTAGTGTTGGATGCTTCCTATCTATCCTACCTACAATTAAAATTATGCCTATCTAACCTACCTATATAGCTACTTAATGTAATTGTGTGTATGTGCATGTGCATGTGCGTGTGAGCATTCTTACTTAATGTTAAATTACAGAGAAAAACAGAGAAAAAAGAATAAAACGTATCCCAGCCAGGCGTATCTTCTTTGCCACTGAATGAACGAACGTAGCCTGACATCTTCAACGATGAATTCCTTTGGAAGCTTCAACCTGAATAAAATGGATGAAATGGAAAAATCTTATTTATTTGACTAATTTAAATGAAAATAGAAAAACGAGCCGCGGTGAATTCCGCCGGAAAGTCAGCCAACTGGCAAAAAAAAGAAACCGTAAAACGTACCCCAGCAGGGCGTGCATTCTTTGCCACCGAATGAACGAACGTAGCGTGACATCACAACCATTCTGATCGTCCACGATGAACTCCTCTGGAAGCTTCAACCTGGATAAATGAACCTGAAAAACCTAAATGAATGGTAAAATCTTATTTATTCAATTTAAATGAAAATAACCGCAAAGAAACCGACCGGTCGGCAAAGAAAAGAGAAAAGAAGAGCAAAGAAAGGTATCTATATAGGATTTATGCTCTATATAACTCTATATAACCATTCATACTACCACATTCAATCAATAAAAATCCCACTAAAACCAGGAACCACCGCGTACCTGCTGAATGTATGATGTGAAACAAAACAAAAAAAAACACAAAACAAAAATCACACCACCAAGTAGAGTAAAAGAATAGGAGTCCCTAACCTACCTATGTAACAAAATTACCTTATGCCCTAGCCTACCTATATAATAAATTAATTTTTACCTCACCTACCTATGCTTCATTAACTTAACTCAAGACTCATGAAGAAAGAGAAAAAGGAGTAAAACAGAACATAAAATACTACCACACAAACAAACATGATGTATGTATGTATGTATGAGCAACCGTTAAAGAACCCACCTAAAATTAAAAAAATACCACCTACAAACATTCAAACCACCTACAAACATGCAAACTCTATATAACTCTATATAACTCTATATAACTCTATATAATTAAATAAATAAAAAAAAAATTTAAAAATAAAATAAATGAGATCAGACAGACTGCTTCAAGCGAGGCAGAATGCTGATCTGATTTTCATGTTGTCTCAGCTTCTCTATTTATACTCGTTTTTTAGTTTCTGTAATTCTAAAATATGTTTTCGGAATTTGGCATCTTTTCACAAGCTTACGACTTTGCTTTTATTATTTAGTTTAACTTTTAGTTGTACTGTGGGAGAAACTTATGAGTCTCTTTAAACTGTTGAACTGTTGACTATAAATAAATATTGCTGGAAAAACCACTTTGCCGTCGCTTTACCGATTTAATATATTTATTTAATTTAGTATATTTTTTATTCCCAGACCTAAGCATTGTAAATAAAAATTTTAAAACCAATCAAGCAATAGAATTTAGGATCTTAGGATCATCTAATTCTAATTTTCCTTCTCATAACTTTACTAAACTTACTACTGAATCTTTCTCTGTATTTACTCCAATAAATCTTTTAGAACTAACTAAAATTATTAATTCTATGTCGTCTACAACCTGTTCTCTAGATCTACTTCCTTCTAATTTACTTAAAGAATTCTCTTCAATATTTTATCCAATCATTCTCAAATTAGTTAATTTATCTCTTTCCACCTCTAAATTTCCTACTTCTTATAAGAATTCTATTGTTATTCCTATTCTTAAAAACACATCCCTAGATCCTACCTCTTTATCTAATTATAGACCTGTAACTAATATTACTTTCATCTCTAAAATAATAGAAAAAGTAGTTTTTAATCAACTCTCATCCTATTTAGACTTTAACTCTTTGCTACCTGTATCTCAATCTGGTTTCAGACCTGCTCACAGTACTGAAACTTCTTTACTTAAAATACACAATGATATCCTTCTCTCTAGTGACAATAATAATCTTACTCTTCTTCTTGCTCTTGACTTTTCTTCAGCTTTTGATACTGTTGACCATACTATTCTCTTGAGACTGCTGCATCTTTCTTTTAATATTACTGATTCTTGTCTATCTTGGTTTTCTTCTTATCTCTGTAATCGTTTTTCTTCTGTTGTTCTCAATAATTCTACTTCTAACTCCTCTACTCTTACTTTCGGGGTACCTCAGGGTTCTATCCTTGGCCCTCTTCTATTTATACTCTATACTTCTGAACTACCTCGTATTATTAATAACTTTTCTTTCTCTAGTCAACTATATGCTGATGATTCTTATATTTATACTTCTTTTCCTCCATCTAATCTCAATAATGTTCTTCATAATTTATCTCTATGTCTTTCTTCGATTATCGCTTGGTCTGATTCTATGTGTCTTAAACTTAATCCTTCTTAGTTTGAATTAATTTGTTTTAATAAATCTAAACACTCAATTACTATTCCTCCTATTATCTTACCTGATTCTAAAACTCTTGATGTCTCTCATAAGTTTCGTAGTCTAGGTTTTATCTTTGATTCTACTATGTCTCTCTCTTCTCAGATTAATAGTGTTGCTAGAAGCTCTTACTTTCATCTACGTAGAATAAAAAAACTTTTGCCTTTTCTGGATGATCCTACTCTTCTCCTTCTTGTTACTTCGTTAGTCTTATCTAGGATTGATTATTGTAACTCGCTCTACTATGGTCTTCCTGACTCTATACTCTATCCTTTAAGTAAAGCTTTTAACTCTGCTGCTCGTCTAGTTGCTCGTGCCCCTTTCTTTTCTCATATATCTCCATATCTTGTTCTCTTGCACTGGCTACCTATAAAATATAGAATAATTTTTAAAATTTGCACGTTCATGTATAAGTCTCAATCTAAATTATTTCCTAAGTACTTATCAGATATATTAATTGAACCTAAACGCCCCGGTTTACGATCGTCTTCTTCTTCTCGCTTTTTCTTAACTCGTGTTAAACACTCTTTTGCCAAATCTGCTTTTGCTTTTTCTGGTCCTTTTCTCTGGAACTCTCTGCCTACTTCTCTAACTATTTCTCCATCGCTTGCGAAGTTCAGAGCGGATCTCAAGACCCATCTGTTTTCAAAATTCATTGAGGAGCGCTGTTGAACATCGCGGAAATAGCGCTTTATAAGCTAATTGATTGATTGATTGATTGATTGATTGAAGTGCTGTTAGTCGTTAACTGTAGTGGTTGGTAGTTTCTAGTAGTCTAATGCTAATCTGTTAATGCTCGTTAGTGTTATCTGTTATTTATTTCAATTAGTAATTAGAATCAGCAGAGTTTAGTTTTAGCTTAATTATTAGAGTTTAGTAATTTAATTACTAATTAGTCGTCGTTTAGTGTTGTTACAGTTAATGAGTTAAGTGTTGTTGGTGGTTCACAAAAAATTTTTTTTATTTGAAATGCAAAAAGATACTTAACCGTCTGGCAAAACCTTAGGATAGCATTGGGCGATGCAACACGGATTGCTGTCGTCCGGAATGACATGCGTTTGTAGAAAAGTTATGCGTTTGTACAATTCCAAAAAAGCAGCAGACGAACAGATATGGCGTTGTACAAACCATACGGCCTGCAACAGAACAAAATCCATTAGAAATGGTAGTTTTTATGAAAAATGTAAGCTACCAACGAGCACATGTATCATGGTTATTATTTTTTTATTCTTAACTTAAATTATATTTTATAAATATTAAATTTTAGAATGAAAAACAATAATAATTTTGTTCATTCAGTTGACATATTATTGGAGCATGGGGGACATCAGTCAGGCAGCGACAGCTTCGTTGCTACAAATAGATAAAAATAACACGTTGACTGACTGGTTCAACCTCCATCGCCAACTCTATATCGATTGGGTACGAGACAACCCAAAAATAATTGGTGGACCTGGTCGAATTGTCCAGATTGATGAGACTCTGGTGTCCAGTAACAAAAGGACAAGGAATGGAAGGGCCAGGCCATTTCGGCAGCGTTGGGTTTTTGGCGGCATAGATAATGTTTCCAAAGAAGCCTTCTTAGAAGAGGTGGCTCAACGTGATGCGGCCACTTTGTTGCCCATAATACAACGGTAATGATTTTAACATTTTCTATTAACTTTTCCTATATTCACATTTTCTATTAACCTTTCCTATATTAACATTTTATCTAATTCTCATTCAGCCACGACAATATGGTCTGACAAGTGGGCCGCTTATGCGAACATTCCCAGAGTTACGGGACTGGCACATGACACTGTCAACAGTGATGACGTAAGTACTCAAAAAATGTACTTAAGTATAAGTACTAAGTACCCAGTAATGAAAGTACTTAAGTATAAGTGCTGAGTACCAAAACAAATTGTATACTTGATACTTATAAGTATAAGTACTAAATACATAAGTACATACCATGTACTAAGTACATACCATGGTTAATTTGAAATATTTATAAATTTATTAAACTCAGAAATCAACTCATTATTTACAGTAATTTATTTACATCAATAAAAGAGTTTGTTCTTTTTGAGTAAAAGTAAAGTTTCAAATGATTCATCACTTAAACGATTTCTTTTAGGAGTGAGAATCATTCCAGCCTGGCTAAATATACGTTCCACAGGTGCTGATGATGGCACAGTGGTATTGTACTTCAAAAACACTTGTGCGGCAGCAGGATACCTAAGGAACAATAATATAGTTGTTAACCGAAATAGCAAATTATTAATTTGTTATTAATACTTGAGAATAAAAATGTATTAAAAAATCAAGCATATACATATTATACATATATAATATATTACAGAAAAATATTGATTACCTTTTGAGTTGTTCCATATCATATGAAGGATCACTAAGATATTGCAGTCCTTCAACTTTTTCATTCGATCGTGATTCGGAACTTGGTTCGTGGAATCCATAAAAATCTGCACTAGTACAACCTCTAGTATTTCTGTCTTCATAAACTGTTGAAGAATTGCTCATTCTGACCACTTCTGCTAGAAACAAGTCTTCAACTTGCTCACGAACTGATGATTCTATCCACCTGATTTTAAAAAACGGATGGCTGATCGAAGCCACAACAAATGCTCTCATCTTGCTGTTGCTTGAAATATCTTTAAAGTCAATTATATCGCCATAGCGTTTATCCATGCCACATTGAAGAGCAGAAACAAGAGCTGAAGTGTACGATGGAGTAAAAGATTGCAGTTTTCGCTGTATAACAAATATAGTTGGTAAGACAGCACCAAAATAAGACTCCATTGAAACCTCACCTTGGAGCTTGTCCAATGCTAGTGAAATTGGTCTCATCAGTTCCAACCACTCATTAAGAAAACTCAAATCTATATTGCTGAACTTCGGCAGCTGCAAACGTTCCATCACAACATTTACTTTATCGCGAAGACTATATATAATGCTATAACAGTCAAATTCAGAATTCCAGCGTGTCCCATTCGGTTTGGGTATTGTTCTGCCTAAGATTTCATGCACAATTTCAGCAGCTTTTGAACTCTGGTGTGATGCGGTGCTGAGAGAGACACACTTACTGGATACTGATCTATATATTCTTTTGTAGTTTGAATCATTATTCAAAGCTTTACTTGCATCAGTTGTAGCAAGCAAGTTTAGAGTGTGTGAAAAGCAAGATACATGAGGAGGAAGATAAATTCCGGAGCTGTCATCTATATTACTTTCCAAAAACTTATCACCAATCTCAACTGGAGTCATTTCTGTATCATCATCATCATCAACATCTATTTGCGAATCATCAGAAATACCTGCCTCTGCAAATTCCTTGAATGCTTTCACGAAATTGCTACCATTGTCTGTCACGACATTTACTATTTTCGATGAATCCAGATCAAACTCGCTGTGAATGTTCACCAACATGGCTGCAATTTTGTCATACGAATGAATTCCACGGAACCTACGGAAGGCAAGTGTAACGCCATTGCGCTTAAAATCATCTGGATTTATCCAATGGCAAGTTACTCCAATATAACTTCGAGCATGTTGCGTCCAAATGTCAGCAGTCAATTAGCCAATGGTTATCTTAACATCCCGCTATCCATGACTAAACAAGAACAAATGTTGATAAGAGAGATAAACAAGAATGTCAATGTGAAAATGTGTGTGTGTGTTTTCATCACAGTTTTCCATTTTTAAATGTTGACATTATCTTATTTTTGCTTAAAATTTTTCTGGTACTTACAGGAAAAATTTATTACTTATAAGTACAAGTACTGAAAAATGTACTTAAGTATAAGTATTTAAGTACAGGCTTTCATATGTACTTGAGTATAAGTATCTAAGTACAGCATTTGTACTTAAGTACGTACTTGAGTACAAATGTACTTAAGAACTCGTCATCACTGACTGTCAATCATTGATATGGCTTTGTTGCTCCAAATGGAGTGCATACTAATGCCATTGAGAATCTTTGGAAGTGTGCCAAAGATCAATTTAAACGGATGCATGGTACCTGCGATGATCACGTCTCTTCGTATCTCGATGAGTTTATGTGGCAGCGCGGTATCAGGGACCGTGATGAGCGGTTTCAAAAAGCTCTTGAGCTCATCGTACATATTACCCTGTTTAAACATTTAAATTAAATTTAATTGTTACTTTTTTTTATTGCGATTTAAATTGTAAATAATTTGTATTTTCCATTTATTACGATAAAATATAATCATTAACTTCTAAAAAAAAAGTGTTTTGGCTTGCACTCGTTAATTATAAAATTTTTAAATAACATTTTAAAAAGGACGAAAAAATTAACCGCTCTAAATATCATTTATTATTTTACAAGACAAGAAAAACTAAGAATTGCGCATTTAAACATTTATTACATCAACAAATACAACGGTTATTAAAAATGAACATAAATATTAAAAAGGGGCGGAGCTAAATGGCGCAAATTAAGCTGGATTTATTTTTAACTCTTTGTTTAATATTTTATGGAATTTCCCAGTGCCATCCTAAGGTTTTGCCGCAATATCTATCCTAAAACAGCATCTAGTACCTTTAAAATCATTTTGAAATTTTAAATAAAAGCAATATTCCGAAATTAGTAAATATACGATCGTAACTTTTGACTTGGGCGATAAAAAATCACCCTCCAATTTCCCTCCGGAAGTAAGCTCCTTGCTCGACCGAAAAATGAACGAAGGCCGATATATTTATTCTAATTATATGATTAGAATAAACAGCGCTCCAAACCATGGAATTATATAACTGGAAGCGCCCTACCAGCGTTTTAACATTGAAAATTTTTTTCAACGGGCAAGTTACCTCTGGAAGCAAGTTCCTAAAAATTAATTATTCATGAGCATTTTGGTTTATTTTTAGAAAAATCTGAGATATAATTAGAAAAAATCTTGGCCTTCCCGAAGTTAAGTTATGTCAACATTTTAAAGCCATTCTTATATATAATTCAATGCTCCAAACAAACAGATGCTAACAGATGGTATTGTGATCCGCTCTGAACTTCGTAAGTGATGGAGAAGTAGTCAGAGAAGGAGGTAGAGAGTTCCAGAGAGAAGGGAAGTTAATAAGTGAAGAAGACGATCGTGAACCGGGGCGTTTAGGTTCAATTATATCTGTTAAGTACTTGGGTAACAATTTAGTAAAAAAATACATTAATGTGCAAATTTTAATAATAATTCTGTATTTTATAGGCAGCCAATGCAAGAAAACTAGATATAGAGATATATGAAAAAAGAAAATGGCACGAGCAGCTTACAACGGCGTGGGGTGGCATTGACCCTCCTTGTCCCCCCTAGATCTGCTACTGTATGATATCATATACCTTGTATTTTATTCTACATACATGCCAATTATCATCTATCCCATATATTTATTTAAATTCAAATTTTTATTCAATTGATTCAAAACAAAATTTCGAAATGATTCGGAGACTCAAAGAAAAAAAGAAAATAAATTCTTCTGTTTAAAAAAATATATACTTAGAATATAATATCAATTGAAATATATGGGACATCCTCTATATGAAAATTTATCCATTAGCTAGAATGATACAGTACGCTCATCTTTTACCACATTTTTTAATAAAAATATAAAAAAAAATAAAAATCTTATACCTAGAAGCTTGTTTGAAATTTATTGTTTTTGAAAATATTTTTTAATCAATAAAATCAAACTTTTCTGTTTTATTTTAACCAAAAATACTGCAGTTTTTCGATCTTACACATTGCTAGTATCGGTAGCATACTACTGTTTTTTATCGGGAATCCACCTTCGGATGTCCATCCCTTGTCGTTATTATACCTATTAATAATTAAAATATATGAAGAAGACATCTTATATAAAAATTTATTCTTAGTTAAGATGATTAAATCAGCTGACATTTGATCCTTTTTGTTTGTGTCTATATTTCAATGCGAATATTTTTTAGTATAATACTGACATTCGCTGTTTGCATCCATCCTTGGATGTCTACCCCTTGGTATTAAGGAATTTAAAATTAGAATTGAGAATAGAGTTTTGTTTATTAATTAACTTATTTATTTATTTATTTATTCTTTTATTGCTTATTCATTTATTTATTATAGCACAGATAGAAGTTTAACCTTTTGGAAAATTTAGTCAAAAAAATAAAGAAAATATTAAGAGTAGTTGAAGGGCCTTGGAAATGTGCTTATATCAAAATCAAAACATGACAAAATGTGCTCTTATCAAAACATGACAACCACGGCCTTGTTAATACAGGCTCAGCCGTTTGTTTGAATGAACAAGTGTGTTTTGGCTCGTGCCGGAGAATATGAAAAAAAATGTAGAAAACATCGAGATAGCCATTTATTCATTGGCCTTATATACACCAATTGAATTCCTAATCATATGCAAGCATAATCATATCGTTCATATAATGGAGAAAAATTGAAAGGTTTCACTGCGCTTAGCAAATACAAACAAATTTACATCATAAAATGGAGAAAATTATGCAAATGTTACAATTTCTATGTGAAAGTAGCGAAGAAGGCAAAACTTTACCATTTCTTTAAAACATTCCAGCAGGACCGTTTTGCTACTTCAAAGTTTTGCATTGTTTGCAGATTTATGTTGTGGAAACAAAATTTGAAATGACAAAAACTGCATAGATTCATCTGCATAATTGGGTTAAACGTGAGTTGTTTGCCAGCGTGGTTCCGTTTTATTTCATCGAGCAATTCTGTTTATAATTCGGTAGATAAGATCGTATGTCATTGTTGTGCGTTGTCCTTGCTATCTCTAGTCCTGTGTTTGATTAGTCTGTCTGTAGACATAGAGTATTAGCCGGCTTTGCGTATTTAGAGTGGTAGATTGCTCTTGTCGAAATATGTCTTATCATGGCAGGATATTTACGCTGTAGGCGCTCACAATTAGGTAGCTTAGATTTGATGAGTGTTTGTGTAATTTTGTGATAATCGCTTGAAAGTTTGCCACTTTGTAACCTTTATCTACGTAATTGATTAATAGTTATTTTGTGACATTGCGTAATTATTAGTAGTATAGAGATAAGCCATTTAAAAAGTATTAACAGTGTTGATCAATTAAACTCTAATTAATAGAGTGATTCGATTTTTCATGTACATTTAATTAATGGGTTCTGTTGTGTTTGTGTTCAAACAATTCTAACGTCTGTGTATGCATGTTGTTAAGCGGTGCGGACACACAGAAGAAAAGTCAGAGCCACACAGGAACACAGGTCTTGTCGAACTCGCGACGGGACAACCAAAGGTAGTCGTTGTGGTGCTAGACGTGCTAGACCATAAATTCATATTATATATATATATATACATATATATATATATACATATATTATATATATATTCAGTTATAGTCAAACATTTTTATAAAGATTAGGTTTTCTCAGTTATTTTCAGAGAGAGAATTGATACTATCAATCTTTACGCACGTTGTTGGTGTTTAGTAATAATGCTGATGTTAATTAATAACATGAAATGGTTTGTATAAATATATTGAAATAAAGGCTAAAAGACTGAACATTTTAAACTTTTTGCAATGGACGGCGAAAGCGCAGAGGAGGAAACATTTGTTGAATATAAAAACGCCGATGTCACAGAAGCGAGCAATCAGTCAGGTGAAATTGTGGTTGTTGTAGTAACTGAAGGTTCAATATTGTGTTAGTTAAAATAATTAATTAAGTTGATGTCAGTTAAAGGTGGTCGAGTGGAATCGTTAGTCAGTGTTGTTAAAGAAAACTTGAAAACCATAGCAAAAAAAATTCTTAGAAAAGTAAATCTTTTCTGGATGTAATCTGTAATAGTAATATGTAATTGTAATGTAATGTATAAACAATTAAATTAGTAAAGAATAAAATAAATAAAGATTATTGTATAAAACGGTAAATAAAACTGATAAAAAATCCTTTACTTTCTTATAGATTACAGTATTACACTCTTACTTTTATTTACTTAATTAAACTTTGAGAATAATGTGCACTAAGTGATTATCATATACAATACAGTAACTAGACTGTCTGGATCTAGTTGAGTAGAGTTGAACCTAGAGTACACAGTACAGTACTAGCTAAGCACAGATAGTTTCAATCTTAGTTTTATTAACCAAAAATTTCTAAGGTAATGTTCTTTTTTCCAATTTTCCAATTTAAGTTTTAACTGAAACAAGGCATGAATCCTCTCGTTCCCATCTCTTCTGTTCCTCCTGCTTTCTTATTTCTAAATTTTTCAATCTCTTTTTACATTTCTTTCTATTAGATATTCTTTTTATTTGATTGTTTATATTGCTTATCTATTTTATTAGAATTATTTTTTTTATTCATTTTTTATTTGAAATTTAGCTCTTTTAAATGTTTTTTTGCCTAAATCATCAAAGAGATTTATGTGTTCACCCTACTCTTCTTGTTTTGACTTTATAGATGATTTTTAAATTCAAAAGAAACCAAAAAATTTCTGTTTTTCAACTCAATACTTTAATCGTTTGTTCTTCTATTTATAATAACTATAACTTATGAATTTTGAATTTTAAGAATAATTTGGCTAGAATTGTATTTAAGTGGGTTCTGACAATAGAATTGTAATAAAGTGGCAAAATATTTAAAACTGTTTGTTCAGATAATTCTGAAATCTTTGTTTCCAAATAAATGTTTATGTTTGGTTCTTGTAGTCAACAAAAAAAATATGCTGACAGGATACAGTTTATTCATTTCCAGTGTTTTGTATCATCTGTCAGCGGTTGGAATTGTGATGCATATAATACACACATATAATACATAATAAATATGTATACTTCATGATTTGCATTTTATAATTGATAATTTTTTATTTGCTTTGAGGGATTCTTTATGCAATTATGAATTTTTCTATAAAAACAAAGCTTGGTAGTGTTGTTTGAAATATTTCATTTACGTTTATTTATTCAAGTTAATTATTCTTTTAGATGATTGCCTCAAAGATGAAACCAATGAATTTGCTGAGGTATATGGCTGTTTTATAAGTGTACATGGCTGTTTTATAAGTGTACATGCGTATATGTGTTTAGATTCAGTTTTATGTTGAGTTTTTTATTAATTTCAGACCAACCATCCAATCTTAAATTTTGCTGGGGATGTTGAAGATTTTGAAAGGGTTGGAACATAAATTTACTTTTTTAAAATCATTATATAATGCAATTAAATTTTTATCTGGCTTGTATTTGAGAGTTAATATCTTGATGATTTTAAAAACATTGTCAAAATATAATATACAGTAGTGTGTTTAAATTCTAACTGGTCACAAAAATGATTGATCTTGATTCAGAATCTTAATCAAATGATTCGGAACGGAATTTAATTAAATTTAATGAAGTGTTGACTCCTAAAAATTATTTCCATAGACCATAGATTTGGAAAGAGTTTATTTGCGGTGTGACGCTGTTAACTCTGAACTCTTTGCATCATTTTTGCAAACACTTCTTTGCATAATGATTTTCAATTAATTAATTAACTGCCACTGTATAAATAATAACTTGAAATATGGTGGAATAACAGTATTAAAATATTGAAATAAAAAATTGAAAGAGTTATAAATATTATCAATACAAATATTTTAATCATAATATTCATATTAATTAACAACAGGTATTTATTATTATTAATTAAATTTATAAATTAGGGAAGACATGTTTTTTTCAATGATGGGGTGCGTCGCATTGATTACATTCTTGTTTGGTCATCCAACAAAGCCAGAGATAAGAGAGCTGCAACTAAGGAAAGTTTTAGAAAAACGTTTGTGAATAACCTAATAGAAGAAGGTCTGCATGTAGAAGAGGATATTGAGGTGTTTTTGAAGTTTCATTCATCCATATCATTCATATTTTACATGGTTTTATACACTTTAGTTTTTATAATTTTTTTAAAATTTCAATTTAATTCACGTATTTATTTATTTAATTCTTTTAATTGCTTAGCGTATAGAAAAAATTTTTGTTTTAGGAAAGTAGAAATGTGCAGTTTGCCAAAGTTCATGCTCCTTTTGAAGTCCTTGCCAGACACACTGACAACATGAAGTTGAAGATGCCAATCAAAGAAGTCAGTTCTGTGTAATTGAATAACAATTTGACCACCTTGTTTAATACTCATTTTATAATAAGTTACTCATTTTTTTCTATCTGACATCGTCACAATACAATTTTTAAATCTCATACTTCAGTCCATTTTTGGTAGGTTAAGGAAGTATCAATGGTAATCAAACTAATCACGAAGAAATCTCGGAAAATATAATAAAAAAAAGTTATTAAAACGGTAAAAATGTGAGCAGTAAGAAAAACGTAGTAGACATATCGAAATTTGCAAAATCGTTTTTTAGTTATATAAAAAAGAAATCTCATGTACTGCTAATTTTTTTCATAATTTTATCAACATTTGGGCAGTGCTCGGACAATTTCACCCCTTTTGTTCTTAGCTCATTTATTTATCCTTTCGATATTTTGAATTTGCCATGTCTACTTATCAATATCCTTGATACTCATTAGGTCACGTTATTTATATGCCAAACATCATTTGTTCTCCCTGTTCTTCACTGGAGTTTCTTTATGTTTTGTAAGTAATATAAAATCCTCATTGATCTTTTATTTTATGTTACTGCTATAATTATTGCAAATAATGAAAAGCAAAGTTTGATTAAATTTATTATTACCCTAAAAATGCTCTGTATGGTGTCAAAAAAGTTTAGCTAACTGACTACTAAGTAAGTAAGTGTACCATTATTAGCATTGCTATTTCTCAAACATTGAAAATCATGGCTGAAAACAAACATCATTATTAACTTAATTCTTTTATCAAAAAATTTTATTTACAAATTTAAGAAAATTGAAGACATGGACTCAATGGGATTGTGGGGTCGAATGACAGGATGTTTCAAAAAATTTTTAAGTCCTTTTGAACTGGATCCATACAGGGTTCCTCATTTTACAAAAAAATTTACGTGCACTTTTCAAAAGGAGAAAATGTATTTGTTAGTATTATTATGTTAATTTATTATATTCATTGCATTTTTTCATGCTTTTAATAATTATTAATTGGTTATTTATTTCAAATGTGTTTAAAGTTTGACATAAATTCACCAATGGCTGAAGACTTGTTTCTAAGGTTAATAATATTCTTGAGGTAATATGTGGTAAGGTGTGGTAAGTTGTGATAGGTGATGTCTTTGCTGCTGAGGCCTTACAAAAATAGTAATATAACTGTTTAAATTCTTCCCTTATTATACCTACTACTGACCCAACTGATCCCATTTTCTTTTCAAACTTGAAATTGTCCACGGTATGTGTGGTAACTCTTCTTTAGATCATTCATAAGCTTGAAATTTACTCATTTTGCGATTCAATCTCTTTGAATTTCAATTTAGCTACAACTGGTTTTCGAGCGTTTCTTTTCTCCTATTCATAAATTGAAGAAGTGCACTTGCTTGTTCAAATACATGAAAAGCAATGTTGTAAACAAACTTATTTTAAAAACGTTTTCTGGACGAGGAATTTGTTTTGTTTTTTTTGAAGATATGATGTTCCTACGCCCAAAGAAAATTTTTTTTCTCGTGCCACAAGATGTCGAATTGTTGATTTTATCCTAAGGAGAACCGAATATGGACACGAACATCAATCCTTATTTACTTATGGTTAGTTATTTCATTAGTTGTTACATTTTAGGTGTGCCATCTTAAATCGCATTTCTTCAACTGATTGTTGGGAAGAATTGTAGAAGTTTTGTAGAAAGATAGAACGCTAAATGTTGAAGATGTTTTATAAGTTGTGTGAAGAACGAAGATAGAGAAGTCGGTTTCTATAAAATTATTTCCTGGATTAGATTTTTGATGCGAACAGACGTTGATGAAACGTCCACTTTTATTTTGTCATTTCTATGTTGATTATCATTTTTTAAGGATATGAAAATTCAATTTTTTGAAAATTTTTCATTCATTTATCTCAACAAGTATAAAATCTTTTCAAAGTTCTAATTGTTTCATGTCTTTGACTAACAAAGAGATTCAATTTATTTTGTTAAGTTAATAAATTTGGTGTCTATTTTTATTGTGAATCTTTTCATTATGGAATCTTGACAGCTTCGACTTGTCTTTATTTATTTCTAGAATATATTTGCATCAATCCAAAAAATTTTTTTCCTCTGTGCTAACTGACAGGAGGTAGGTTTATATATTTGAAATTTGAATTTAATCATGATATGTTAGTCATTTTTAGTTTCGGTCCTTCTATTCGTTTAGTTATTTTAGCTGCATTTCCGTTCTATTTATTAAAATAGATCGTTAGTTAACTTAATTTTATGTCAGAATTTAGAATTATTTCTTGATGGTACTGTGTAGGTCGAAGTAATCTGAATTACTAAAAACTTAAAATTATTGCTTGTATGTTGAGAAAAACATGTTCATTATTGATAGATTAGATTATTGTCTGGACTAACGCAAATGGAACACACAATTATATTTCGGCATGTCATTTTTTTTCTTCCTAACTACCTTGGATGATTTAATTTGTCCAATTGAATCACTGTTTAATACTTAAGATATTGTTCAAGATGTCTACAATCTACTGCTAGAGTCCTCTTGAAGTAATTTGTACCACATACACTATTTATTCGCACCTCACACATTATTTGCACGTTTGTGTTAAGATTTTTATTTTTTTCCTTAGTCTCGTTTATTCACGTAATTTATTAGTTTTTGTAAAAAAGAAAATTTCTTTTGCCAATGAAAACAATACAGCTTTGCAAAGGTTTGCTGCAGGTGAAACTAGGAAATGTATTAAAATTTTGATATAGTCGTCTGACACTAGTTTTAATGGAAATACTTAACTCTATCCAAAAACAATGTCTCAGATTGGTCAGTTATAAAAATTATGGTCTATTACCAACATATATATATATATATATATATATATATATATATATATATATATATATATATATATATTTTTACAATATTCTATAAATTCTACCGAATGTTTGGCGTTAATATGTTTGTAGTTCGTTTTTTCGATTTTTCTCACTAAAGTTTTTTGGTGAACGTTTAGTTTATTAAAATTCAAAATAAACTTATTTTTCGAATTCATGCTGCAAATAAGGCCATATTTCGATTCCGAATGAATCATCATCAGTGCTCCTTGCTGTATACTGATGATGATTCATTCGGTAGAATTTATAGAATATTGTAAAAATTATGGTCTATTACCAACATTATATATATATATATATATATTCGCCAAACATTCGGTAGAATTTATAGAATATTGTAAAAATGATGATCTATTACCGACATTATATATATATATATATAAATAAATAAATATATATATATATATATATATATATATATATATGGGGGTAATCGAAAAAACGATCTACAAACATGTTAACGTCAAACATTCGGTAGAATTTATAGAATATTGTAAATATATATATATATATATATATATAAATATATATATATAAATAAATAATAAGATATTATAGGAAAATTTATAGAGCGCCTTTTAAAAAGTTACTCAAAAGCGCTCTCAAATATTATCAACTGTAATATTGTCCACAGGAAGAAATATCGAAATACAAATAAAAAAATATAAGATCTTTAGTTCACATTATCAACTATAATATTGTTCATCAAATAAAATATCAAAATAAAAAAGTCTTTAATTCTTTTATAAACCGCACAAGTGATATTCCAGGTCTAGGGTTGGTGTAAGGAAGATTGTTCCACATCCTCGGTCCACAAACAGCAAAATTCCTCGACCCAATTTTCGATTTAGTTGCCGGAATTTTTAAATAGTTCTGATACTTAAGACAAAGTTCTGTTAATTCGTATCCTTGAATGCAAACATTCGACTGTGGACCAAGACCATTCGAACGTCTGAACATCAACACATATTTTGAACACGATCCTTTTTTTCTACCGAAAGCTAATGTAAATCCCTGATGATTGGAGAAACATGATCGAACTTCCCACCACCCGTTACCACTTTAGCAGCTCTATTTTGAACAGATTGCAACATTTCAACCACATTTCTTGATGTTCCATACAATAGGCTGTTGCAATAGTCCAATCGTGAACGAACAAACAAATGGATCAACGCTACCATGGTGGTTTTGTTTAAATACTTTTTTACTTGCCGTAATTGACGAAGTTGAAACAAACACGATTTGACCATACGCCTAGCGTGTTCTTGTATAGATAAATTGGTATCTATCGTGAACCAAAGAATCGTTGCTTTTCTTCAAATTTAATAACAGAATCATCAATCTTTAGCAACTTTATACGTATCTTCGAAGTTTGCTGCCAGGTACCTATCGGCGATAATTTGTTTTTGTTTAATTTTAAACCATTTTGATCCATCCATGTATTAACTGCAGAGAGACCATTTTTCAGTCTGTTAGTCTATGTCTTCAAACATTTCAAATGATACATTCGACATTAACTGTATATCATCCGTATAAGCATAACCTCTCATACCATAGCTCAATAATATCAAAAACATCAGCAGTATAAACCGAGAAAAGAAATGTTTTCATAACTGATCCCTGAGGCATCCCTGTTAACATTTTTTCTTTATTTTAAAGAAGACTTACTCAACGACAGCACAAAATTTCAAGTTATTACAAGAACCCAATTCCTCACCTAAAGACTAAACTCAACGCAATAATTAGGAAAATCAACAAAAACATACCTCAAGAAAAAATCCAGCTACTCCACTTTATAACAACATTAAAACGCACAAAAATAACAACCCCCTTCGACCTACCATCAGCCAACTTTCAACAGTAACATACCCTACTGCCAAATATCTAAACAAAATTCTAAACAAACAACAAGATTCTGACCCCATACATTCCTAATAGCTATAATCTCCTGTCGTCACGCAGATTTATCAATCTATTGAACACTAATAAATCATCAAATCAAATTGCTTCTCTGGATGTCGAATCTTTATTTACAGATGTTTCCATACATGACACAATTGATATATATCACTTAGACATGGTCCTCTTATGAATACCAAAAAACATCTTAAATCTCTCCTCAAGTGAAAATTTTTTGCCATTTCTGGATGTTTCGGTAACGCATGACGAACAAAAATTTACAACTGCCGTATACGTCAATGCAACAAATAAAAGAATGGGTTAAGTGAATTGTCGGAACAATTCAAAATAAGTACAATAAAATCCTTTGTGAACTGTGTATTCACGCATTCATCCTCAAATAAAGATCGCAATACGGAACTGAAAAGAATTATTAATCTACTAGTAAGCAATAGTTACAAAACATCATCCATTGAGAGCACCATTCAACAAAGACTACAGCAAGATAGCAATATATTTAAAAACAACAATGACTAAAGCATAATCCTATATTGCAGAAATCATTTGTCAAAGGCACATAAAATAGACGAAGTCGTCTTCAAACAAATCATAAAAAGAAATGTTACACCAATTAATGAATTTAATTAAATAAAACTCAGGATATACTACAATAATTGTAAGACATCACAATTGATCTTAAAGAACAACTGCACTCCTAAAGACAATTCTACTTTGATGCGTAATCATGTAATATATGAATTTAAATGTCCTATTGACGACTGCGCGCGTCAACAACGTTACGACAACTCCACTATCAAGACGTTTCTAATGCATACACAAAGAGGAGCCATCAAATCCCACTTGCAATCAATACATTCAGCTCCAATAACCCGCCAAATTCTTGACAACAACACAAAAATAATTTATCAAAACATGAACACAATACATCTAAAAATTGCAGAAGCTGTCCTAATAGATATCAATAAATCCCAAATAAACATCCAACAAAGAATGATAACATCATTACCCAACTTAATACAAATTTAATAACAATGAATAAAAAAGGAATGACAACAACAATTCCGAATGAAATATGGCCTTATTTGCAGCATGAATTCGGAAAATAAGTTTATTTTGAATTTTAATAAACTAAACGTTCTCCAAAAAACTTGGAGAAAAATTAGTGAGAAAAATCGAAAAAATGAACTATAAGCATATTAACGCCAAACATTCGGTAGAATTTATAGAATATTGTAAAAATTATGGTCTATTACCAACATATATATATATATATATATATATATATATATATATATAAAAATATATATATATATATAATATATTTATGTATATATAAGGGTTACTGTCTTTTGCGTTTACTTCAGAGGTTTCAACGACAAACACACACAGCTTATATGAATACGCGTGCAAACCAGGCATCATAAAAATTGCATATGATAGGCGGGGATCTCTTTGTATTCGAACCCAGTCATTGCAATAGCGAGACCAGGCGCCTTTAACCATTGAGACCTCACGCCGCCATATAACATTGTCTGATTAATTATTTTTAATTTTGTTTACTGCACCTCTTCTACTTTGCGTTTTGTTAGTTAGAGTAATGAGATTTATATTTACCCACTAATGATTTTATTGATGGATAGATATCTGTTTATTTATATTGAATTATTTATGTTGCTATTTAATCTGCATGGTTCATGATTAATTGTTAGAGTAAGTTAAACTTTGAAAGTTTAGGTAGATCCGTGTATATCTGTGCGCTTGAGTGTGTGTGTGTATGCATAAAGCTTATATTTCTATATATAAATATGTATGTATGTATGAATATATATGTGCGAGAATATGCTAACATGTACATTTTTTTATTGCTCATTTGGTAAACTTTGATAGATGCTGATATTTTTTTAGTTTTCTTTCTCTCCCTTTCTGCTTATAGTGACAGTATATGAGTTTCACAGTTATTTTTTTGTTTATGTATTCTATTTCAGTATTTTAGTTCAGGCACTAATGCAAAGCAATTATTGATGAAAATCACAGTCTTTTCCACGTTATATATAAATATATTTATAATTGCTTTTTATCAGAGCTCTCCACATGGAAATATCCAAGAAGAAATATGCTGAATGCCTTTTAGCAACGTCACAAACGGTGTTGATCGTTAAAACCTATTAAACAGATGTGTTTTAAGATGTTTTCTAAACTCTGATAATGACATTCCAGATTTTCGAAGTTCCTTAGGCAAACTATTCCATAAGACAGGACCAGCCGCCGCGAAATCTCTATCAGCTCTTTTGAGATTGCGACATATATATACATATAACCTATAAAACTCGTTAAATTTTCAATAGTTTCACAAAAGTAATATATAAAAACACCAACTTTACACATCTCAATACTGCAGAAGCTGTTTTTACATCAGAAAAAACCAAAAATTAACATTAAACAACAGATATTAACAGCACTTCCAACTCGAAGTCTTATTATAATTTACTTTCGTATTTTAATTAATTGGATAATTTTCAAAGACTCTTAGTGAAAAAAATTGAAAAAACGAACTAAAAGCAATATAAAACCAACAGTTTGATAGAATTTATAGAATAATGTATTAAAAATGGTCTCCTTCTCACATATATACCATATTTACCACAATAGTTTTAAAACATTTATTTTTCAGGTATCAAAAACCTCATTGCCAATGGAACTTACTTGTCAGCTTATCCACTTCATGAGGTTAATTTTAACATTAAAATTTCGGTCTGCGGTTCTTACTTGAATAGAGCACTGATTTACAATTTTTCTTCATAATTTATAGAACATGGCAATAAATCAGGGCGGATTAAATAATCTTTTCAATTTGCCGTTATCGCATTTGACATTGAAATAATAATAATGGCTGTTACAATCTAAAAATTGACGGTTTTTCAAGATTTTTCAACGATATTTCCTTAAAATTACTCTAAATTTTCTTCACAATATTTAATAGCTTTATGGTTTATAATGTGCTTTTATCTTCCACACAACCTTAATTTAGCTTTCCTTCTTGGGCAACCCTTTTGCTTTACAATAAAATCGTTAAAAAAACATGTTTACATCTAATCGTGTTTATTTCATTTTGAAGAACTTGTGATTTTGATTAAAATACTTAGAAGATTAAAATGAGTGAGCGAGATTAATATTGTTATAACCGTGCTACCGAACGCACTAGATTCTAGCGTATTTTAGAATGTTCTAGTGACTGGAGCATTCTAGAGTATCGAGAAGAATCTAGAAACGACACTTGCGAAGAGTATAAAAGCGCACGTCGAAAGATATTCGTGAGGAGTGAAATTCGTGATTTTGTGATTTTGTGAATAGCGATTCGGTGAATTTTTTAAAGCGATATTTGATTTGTTTGTTGACGTTGTCATAGCGATAGATTTTGAAAGATTTAAAAGTTAATTGTTGCGTTAGTGCGAATTTACTGGAAATAAACGATTAGTTGATTTCTTCTGTAAATAAAGTTTAATAACTAATGATAGTTGATTTCTTCTGTAAATAAAGTTTAATAACTGTTTGGAATATTTTATTCAATCGAGGATTTGAACCCGTCGCATCGTAAATCGGTTACGACAGCGAGTATTATAACATTGGTGTCAGAAGTGGGATCTTCGACCAGCGAATTACTACTCAGAGAAAAAGAACACGATGTCAAAACTATGTGGTTTGAACGTAGTTCAACTACGAGAAGAACTACAGAAACGAAGCCTTGTCACAAGTGGCAACAAAGAAGTACTAGTAGCACGTCTGAGAGAAGCTCTCATTGACGAAGGTAAGAACCCAGACGAATTCAAGTTTGATGGTGCTGATGAGGACAATGAAATTAGCACAGGCACGTTTACAACCGCTAAAATGATGGAACTTCTGCTTAGTATGTCAACTGAAATGAAACAGATCAAGGAACAGTCCGAACGACAGACAGAGGAGTTAAAACAGATCAAAGAACAGTCCGAACGACAGTCTGAACGACAGACAGAAGAGTTAAAACAACAGATCAAGGAACAGTCCGAACGACAGACAGAGGAGTTAAAACACGTAAAATTGGAAGTGGCAGAACAGATTGAAGAACAGTCAACAAGAATAGAAATGATCGAGCAGAAACTTGATCGTCAGACCGTTGAGGTAGATCACAAGATAGACAAATTGAAGCGAGAATTGGAGCAATCCAAAAAAATGACCATGCCGTTAGATCACGCATCCGGAAGAACTTTGAAGGTACCAGCATTTGACGGAGAGATGTCCTGGAACGTTTATAAAACCCAGTTCGAAGCAGCGGCAACTAGTAACTGTTGGAACGGAAAAGAACGAGCAACAGCACTAATACTGGCCCTGCGAGGTTCAGCAGCAGAGGTTCTTCAGACGATTCCGGCGGAGAACCACTTCAACTATGAAGTTCTGGTTAGCGCGTTGGATTTACGTTATGGTGAAGAACACATGAAACAGATTTATCGGTCTCAGCTTAGAAACAGAACGCAACGATCTGGTGAATCCATTCAGCAGCTGGCACAAGATATCGAACGGTTGACATTGCTGTCGTATCCGACATCAGACCCCGAGCATAGAGACGAAACTGCCCTGGATACGTTTATCAAAGCCCTTCGTGATTCGGAACTCAAGCAATCCCTTCTCTTGTCAGATAAACGAAAACTCAAGGATGCCGTTGCGCACAGTCTCACTTTTGAATCGGCAAAGCAAGCATCAAAAAGTGACGTACGTCTACGCCAAGTACATGAAGAATGCTCTTGCCAGAAGGTGGTTATGAAACGCGAACCCCAACAGCATGGTGTACCCCAATGCTGGATTTGTGGTGAAAAAGGCCATCTACGTCGTGATTGTAAACACCGCCTAAAAGATAACTACTGCCGAAATTGCGCGACAAGATGGCGC